GGTTCTACAATAAGGGATATTGAATGGGGTATAATATCGGAGATTGTTTCTACTGGGAACATTGAAATTTATTTTTGCAAGTAAGTATGGGCAGTCGATTTCATGTCTAATAATTTTGAAAAGAATAGATAAGTCTGAGAGAGTACGTCTTTTACTAAGTGGCATAATTTTAAATTGATTCCGAATCGGCTGATAATTGTGGTCCTGAACGCTAATCTTGTTTTGAAAGGCTAGGAATCTTAACAGTTTATTTTGAACACTTTCTATCCTTCTTGAGTGTACGGCATATTGAGGATTCCAAATAGCCGACGCAAAAGAAAGCTTGCTGTTGACGAATGCATAATATAGTGAGATGATAGTCTCAGAATTATGAAAATACTTTCCGTTTCTTTTTATGAACCCAACCATCCTGTTCGTCCCGTTGATCAGGTTGTCTATGTGACTGTTAAAAGTCCATTTTGTGTCCAGTGTGACGCCTAGATCTTTGATTTCAGTGATATATTCAAGGTTGTTATTGTTAATTTTGTAGGTATGCTGGATGAGATTTCTATTTCTTGAATATGTTATGGCAAAACATTTGGTTGGGTTTAAAAAGAGACTATTATTGTCGCAATAATCGGCAAGCCTGTCAAGGTCTCTTTGAATTTTCAAGCAGTCGTCGACACCCTTTACCAATGAAAATATTTTCAAATCATCAGCATATAGTAGTATTCGACAGTGTTCAAAACAGTTTTTTATATTATTTATGTAGATGATGAAAAATAATGGACCAAGGTGGCTACCCTGCGGAACACCGGAAACTGCTTTGAAGGTATGCGAATTGAAACCATTTACTGACACCATCATCTCCCTATTAGTTAAGTAGGACCAGATCCATTTCAACAGCGATCTGTGTACACCGACCCCCGCCAGCCTTTCCACAAGAATAGAGTGGTCTATCTTATCGAATGCTTTGCTGAAGTCGGTGTACACAGTGTCTACCTGAATTCTTTTATCAAGAGCATCGGAAATAAAATCAGAAAAACATAGTAAGTTCGTCTCGATGCTTTTTTTGGGAAAGAAGCCGTGCTGCTCTTCTACGATTACATTTCTCACGGATGCTAATATCTCTTGATAAATGATCTTCTCGAATATCTTTGCGAAAATACATAGTTTGCTAATTGGTCTATAATTTTTTACCAAATGTCTGTGTCCACTTTTGTATAATGGTGTAATAATTGCCACTTTCCATTGAGACGGAAAAGTGCTTGTTTCAAGTGATTTGTTGAGAATTTTTGTTAACGGATAACATAGAGTGTTTTTACAATTCTTAATGAATAGTGGTGAAATGTTATCAGGCCCAGCCGATTTGTTTTCGTCTAATGATGTAAGTATGGAAAGAACGGATTCCGCACTGATCGTCCCAATACAATTTGGTAAATTGTCGGTCAAATCTGGAGTACCACTATTATTTTCAACAAATACGCTACTAAAAAATTCAGCGAATAGACCACTGACGGCTCGTCCGCCCTGAGCTATTGCATCGTCGTAATGCATAGTTTGTGGTATAGCAGTGTCAGTTTTTTTCTTATTGGAAACAAATTTCCAGAATTTTTTTGAATCATGTTTTATTTCATTTTCAATATTTCGAACATACGTTTGAAAGTCCCGGCTTATGAACTGTTTCGATTGTCGTCTGAGGTTGGCAAAGGTGTTGTAGTGTTCTAGATTATTCGTGGATTTGAATTTTTTATGAATTTTGTTTTTCTTTACTATAGTTTTGATAGTGTCAGCCTTGAAATAAACAGGGTAGTTACCTTTAATTTTATAGCTAGGAACAAACTCTTCCACTGTATTTTTTATTTCTGTTGTAAAAGCCTCAACTGATTCGTCGACATCTTTATCCTTGAAAAGTTGATCCCAGTTGAGAAGTGATAAAGAATGATTGATATCGTCATAATTAGCTTTTTTGAAATTATAAACGAACTTGTCGTCTCGAGCCAGCATTTTATTCAATTTGACGTCAAGGAAACACTCCAAAGAGGGGTGGTGAAAATTCTCTGGGACCAGAGGATTTTGTGAGTGATGCAGGTTCTTTATAAGATTTTTGTTACATAATATCAGATCAAGAGTTCTGTTATTGTTGTTTCGAACTGAATTGAATTGTCTCAACTCCATATATGAAAATGTATCTATAATTTCAGAAGATTTATCATCTACTTGCAGAGGTTCCAGGAACCCTTCATTCGTTTTAATTTCCCAGTTGATAGTAGGCATGTTGAAATCTCCCAATATCATAGCTACATTCTTTTCAAAAATCGTTTCATTGGAATACATTTTAGTGACAAATGAAAGCTTAGAAATATAGTCTTCTCCCGGCAAGTAAACACAACAAATAAAGTATTTTTTACCGGATCCAACTTCGATAGATATCCAGATGTCTTCTGCCTACACGATGTAATAGAGAAACTAACTAAACAACGAAAACCGCAACATGATTTTGTGTTCGAATTGTTATAGTGTGTGTTCAATAGATATAATTCAATGTTCGTCGTGGCATATAGCCAGGAAAGTACTTTTTTCTGTTGAATAAACCGAGAAATAATTGAAATCACATCACATAGAGAATGTGATGTATCAATGTATTTCTATATACACGCTGGCATTGTAATAAGTGCAAATATTTCAAGCCTTGAGTAAGCTCGACGTATACTATCGAGTGGTACCAATAAAATAAATATAGGGATCCAAATCGGGATGAAATTTCTTGTTAATCAGAAGAATTAGTAAAAATCTGATATCATGGGAATATTCCATAGACTGTATCATATCGAAGTGCTGATTATATGTACTTATTTCAAAATCACCTTGTGTATATATATCCATATTTTCATGTTCATAATTTATTTATCTGAGAATATTCTTTCTTTCTTCGAATATGTTTTTTTATTCATAATGATTTTATTTTCAGCAGTAGTGGTCGATTCTAACTGGAAAAAATGAATCAAAACATGTGGTTAAATATTTTTTCTGGACGAAATCCTAGATAGATAGTACTATCGAAAATATCGATATTTATAAATAAACTATCAAAACTATAATCAATTCATAGTTGATAATATAATACTCGAGGTTTGGGGATGGGTATGGGAAATACCACCTCTACCTGTTCCTTATCTAAGCCTTCTCGAGGCTTGATTCGAGGTGATCGATTCTTTATATGGTTGTGAAGAAAAGAGGTCTCCGGTTTCGTAACTTGTATCAATAGCTTATAATAATTATATCATCGGGCCCAACGCAATTAAGATGATAAATAGGCAATTTGTTGTTGCTCAAACATGAGATTAAGTAGGAACGCGATAAAAAATACTCATATATGAGTAATATCTTGTGATCTCTGGATCATGCAATTGATTATACAGGGTAATCCCTAACTATGACACGAAACTTCAAAAGGTGACTCATTAGGCCGTTTTAACAACAAAGTGTCTTTGAACAAATGTCCGGAGTTGCTTATTTTCTGAGTTACATGGCGTTGAAGTTTCTTCCATTGAACTTAGTGATAATAAGAACTTGATCCAAAATTAACCGTTTTAACTCATTCACGGTACTCCGAGCGGTACTCTATGTAGAATGAAAATCAAAAATTGAAAATTTCAGGATGATATATGACAAAAACTGATAAATAGGATATCATTGTACTCACAATGTGATTTTCTTTTGGAATATGTATAAATATACCGGGGGCCCCATTCGAAATTAGGAAGATAGGGTCATTACCTGTCGAACCTGAAGTTACAAATGAATACGCCATATTTATCTAACATACCAAGACAACGCGTTTCATTTGTTCACCAGTTGAAATTGAATTTATAGGGGTGTACAACTCTTGAGAAACACCAGGTATTTTATTAAAAGAGCAGAGAACATTTATTTATTAAACAACTTATCAATTCTACTTTCCGCACGATTCGCTGTGGCGTTCCAATTAAGAGTGCTGCTCCTAAGGTGGCGTATGGAGTTAGTAACAAAGCCTACACAGAACACACATGGGCTGAAGGACCTCTCGTAAGGTCGATGGCCTGTTGGTATGTACGGAGGTATGTACATAGATACCCACGATGTTCGATACTAATAATAATAAATTTGTTTTTTTGGTATTTCAAGATGTAGGTCGGTACGAGGGTCGGTATCATGTTGTCCATTCATTTCTCAAAAATTCTTGCTCACTTTGGCGAACTTTGAGTTATCATTTCAAACGTAGTTTTAATAATAGGTATCTGTAGTTTGAACTCTAGTCAAAAATCATTTCATAACTGTTCGGCCGATAAAACTTTCTTCCAAAAAATATATATTACTCCTAAAGCTCTACCATCTTAGATATTATTATTCAATACCTTACTACGATATCAAAGAATACCCCCCCTCCAAATATGACGAAGGCATACTAAGCATTAATTTTTTTACGAAAAAAACAAGACTTCTATCGATATAGGCACATGAAAATGCTAATAACTTGAGAGTCAATTAATTTTTCGCACCTGAGTAGATACGTTAAAGTTTGATAAAAATACATGGCCGTAAAAAAAAAAACGAAAACTTTTATAATCTTAACATTTTGTATTCCAGATTCTTTGGAATTTTCTCTCCTCGTTTCTATTAAATGATAATATGAGTATTTGTTCAATATACATGTAGTGAGGACAAATCAGATGGTTTGACCCAAAATGTCACTGCGCTTATAAATTCCTAAAAGGAAAATTCATTCGCTTGTCGGTGACACTTTGTTTTGAAATAGGTTTAAATAGGAGTAATATAGGTATATAGAAAAAAAATCAAATTTTCACTTATCTTTGGATGTTTTTGGGAACGAGTCTGCTCCCGTTTTCAACATAATAATGGAAAATATTTCTCTCACAAATTCGTCAGATATCAGTTTTGAAAGTTCTCAGTGACAAATGGTGACGTTGGCAAACAAATGAGCTACAGGATGTTCTCATAAATTAATCTTGTTGTTGCAGAATCAAGAACACCTGAAACCTCAGATTGCTGGCGGGCTGGCCAATGCCGAGATCTATTGCCTGGCTCTCGGCAACATCTACTCGGATCCCAATTACCACAACCTCAACCACTGGGCGATCCTGCAGACCCTGGCCAGGAAGGGAGTTTTCGGCACCGATCCATCGGACAATCAGCTCACCGAGACCACTTTGATCCAGACGAATCCACTTCGAATGGTAGTAAAATTGTTGTGTTACGTTCGGGGCTTCAATAGCATGTCTTTTAGAACTCCAGATAGAATTAACATGGGTTTTGGAAGGCTTTCTTTTGTCACCTATAATAATTGCACGAGATTTAACAATAACGAAAAAACGAAACAGAATGCGAAGTTACAAGTTAAACGAAAGGGTCAGTAGAGAGTGTTTCCGCCCAGGGCAAAAATAACTTCTTTGCAAAGACGAACTATAGTGAGAATAAGAGACCTTATGTCATCTTGGTACAGGTCATCCAAATTTTGAATCAGTCTCTTGTCACAAGAATGTTCCAGAGATTCTCAATGGGATTTAAATCCTGGCTCCGAGCTGGCAATGGTAGCAATACAGACTTCCTCTAGATTATTTCTCACAACTCGAGCGACGTGGGACCTGGCATTAGCTTGCATCAAAAAAATCCTTGAATTATTTATGTGGTTCTAAAATCTCCAATGTGTACCTATCAGCTATAAAGCTTCCATCTTCCATGTATGACCACAGGTTCTCTGCGACCAGTAAATCAATGTCTCCCCAGACCATAGCATGCTACTTATGTGCTTATAATGCTAATTGAATTCAATAAAATCAAGTTAAACTTCAAAATTGTGTGCCTGGAGTTATAGAAAAGATAATGGAATGAATCCAAAAAAGAAAGGTTGAAAAAAGATAAAGCCAAGGTGTGATTTAAATTATAAGTTGATGATGTAACTGTTACACTCTGCAGGGTATTTCAAATTTCATAAAAAAAAACGATATTATTGCTACAAAAAGGTTTTCATGAGAATTCAGTTTGCAGGCCAATATTTAGAAAGAGATAACCTGTCATTGAAAACAAAAAATGTCCAAATCGAACAAGTAGTTTTGACGAAAATGCTTCTCAGACTTTTGGATACTTTTTGGCGGTGCGTTAATTTTTTGGGGAAGTGTATATAACCTTCAATAATTCAAACTAGTTTAAACTGAAAAATCCATTGGCATTTTGGCAATCTGACCATCATACACATATTACAACCGTGGAGTGCCCACAGGCGAAAAACTAACTTTATACATTTGATTGCTGCAATTCATATTCCCGGTACTAATGATATATAGGTAACATTGAATAGGAATGGCCGGTTTGCAATGTCTTCTTGTCAGGAATCACTAGAACTATACTATATATCGCACTGTTTTACCATTAACCAAACAGATTCTTCAAGCCTCGACAGTGTTTCGCTAACTATATTAGCATATTTAGGAGAATATCAAAACTATTCTAGCAACGAAAAATTGTGACAGCTGTCCAATTCCAAATGACACTAGTGCGTAGATGCGCAATGAAAATTGCTGCAATTTTTTGGAAAATTCAAACTGAAAAGCAGCTTTGATCATTATTGTGAATGATAAATTGCTTATATGTATTAGTTATTTCTATTCAATCCATAGTTTCAGTTTGATTTGTAAACATTACATGTTACGCTGATAGATATGGTTATGCTTTAAGATGATTAAAGTTTTGTATTCTGTTTAGGTAAATAAAATCTGTTTATTTTCAAGTGAATTAATTAAGGAAAATCCGAATTATTTCAAAAAGTCTGATTTTTTCAAATTTTGTATAAAAGTCATGACTCATTCCAACCCTGATTTGAGGTATTTTTTATTTTGAGAATTCAAAAACCCGATCTTACAAAACGAACAATAATTGTTCTACTCTGTGCCACTATCCGATGATTTTTCTACTTTTTTTAATGGAGGATTAAGAAAGTTACTTCTATTTCTTGATGGGAAGTTGCTGATACACCCCTCCAATATCAATTAATCTTGGAACAACCTTGTTCTTTTGAGTCTAGCTGCAGGGCTACACCTAGATTGACAACAAAATGTTTGGATTTCGAATAAAGGTTAATGATATATTTCCTGTTAAGGTAGTGTATGTGTTCCTCAAAATCCAAAGTATTATCTATCCCTACACCCAAGAATAATGTGCATGATTTATTCTTTATCACATGGTTTTGGAGGCTGAAACTTTCATTAGTTAATCTAAATGAATTAGATTAGTTTTATCCACATTGAAATATACAGAATTTCAATCACATTAAAATTAGGGTTTGCAATCCCACAGTAATAATACAAACCCGGGATCGAATTGATTTGTACCCGGGATCCCGGGTTTTTGGTATCGGGATTAGAATTATGGGGTATACTATAGATACTCGTATATGAACAAAACATGTAATCTATACATCAAAAAGTAAAGAGAAAAAAAGGCTGAACATCTGCGAGTCGAGTGCCGATTTTTGTGCAAATTGTACCAGCTGTGGAAAACACTCTTTCATATTCTACACTAGTTGGTGGTACCTATAGTTGTAAGATCATGATTTGCTAGCTGAAGATATGTACCTCTGTGGTCATTATTTTCGAAAAGGGTAATTTCCTTTGTTAAGTTTGATGATACCTTATTGTGTTGAGGTTGAGTCAGTGACACACTCGGTGACGCTTGACTGGCAATCTTGTTCATCAATTATTGCCTCTGAAACTATCAACAAACGTTTTATATGACTCACGAGTATCCTCATAATAACTTTTTTTCAGGAACTTCGAATAATAATAATCTGATTCACTTGACGAGAGCGAAGTCTTACTGGTCAAAACTAACCCGAAAATCCCGGGATCTAATCGGATGTGATCCCGGTTTTTTTTTTCATCGCTTGGAGCGCACGAAAGGGAATCCCTATAATGTTCGAAGAAAATAGTGCGTTCCTAGGGAGGATAGGGATAGGAGGTAGGTATTGGAATTTTTTTGAACTTCTGGAGATTATATGTTGTTGAGAATACTTCCTCAGGCAATGAATTCCAGAGCCGTTCGATGGATGGAGGAGTTTTGATAAAGTGCTGTTCGACATCTTTCGAGGTTGACAACGAAAGGATGTGCTGACTCGGTATAAAAATATCACTAGGACGTCGAAATTTCCGGTATCGGCATTTCGGGATTGCAAACCCTAATTAAAATGTAAACTTCTCTAAATCGTGATCAATTCTATTTTTCAGGGAGTCTACATCATGTCCATGACATAATAAAAGTTGTATCATCTGCAAACAATTTGAATTTTTTTTGTCAATATCTGATGGGTCATTAATATAATATAAAAATATATGAGTATATGAAAAATATCATTCAACATTTATTCATTCATACAACTTGAAGAAACTATAAAGAATTAACTCATCTTATTACTCAGTCAGTTTCGTGTAAGATACAAAGATTTTAACCAGATTTTCACTATAGTTTCTTCTGGAGCTCACGTGCACACGTGCATAATCAGTAGAGTCACTGGATGGTATTAATTAGATAAAAGTTCGGACACAGAAATGACAACTGTTAGTGTTTTTGATTGTTTAGATTCATTAAGTTGCACACCTTGCATTGTGACAACAGCATCATAGTCATTCCGCGCTTTTTCATTCAAAATTGTTTGAATTTGACATTTGCATTTTATGAACGTCAGAATTGAAATATAATTTCATAAACTATTGAGAAAGAGTCTTAGGAATGAAAATGTCCTGCTTAGTAATGAATAGCGAGAATTTTGAAGGAAATGGCGATTTCATTTCTTCAATTTTTCAATGGAATGTGGAAGGAATGTGTGAGACGGCCTGGATAGCAAATTAATTTGAAGACAAGCAAAATTTGTGAAATAAGTAAATTCACTTCTTATAACAGCAGATTGAAATGAAGTATTATTTTAGACCCATTTTCAAACAGAAGATTTACAAAACAGACTATTGAAAAGAAAGTCCAATATTATCATCAGATGAAATGCAAAAGAAAATTATCATAGAGAACGAGGAATTGATAGGAAAACTACGTAATGAAATTGAACATTTGAGAACGAAACTGAGGAAATCAAGTGAATGCAACGTGATATAATATTATTGAATGGCGTTTTCAATGCCGACCAAATTCAAAATTCATCAGTAAGAAGTGAATGCAGCAAAAGGTGGAAAAGCGAAACAAACTTCATGTTTTATTATCCACATGTGTCTATTTTGTCATATTGAAATGTTGTTACATGAATCCTTTTCATTTTTATAATTATTGTCCTGTGAAAAGTGTATAGCTATATAAATTGAAGTGGGTGTTTATACCTATTTTCCATCTACGACAATGATTGATTTGACAAAAAATCCAACCTCTAAAAGCGTATTTGACAATCAGGCGCTACTAGGGAAATTGAAAAGACAAAAAGCAGAATATATGTCTTATTCTTTTATTCACTCAGACCATTGTAATATACAAAATAGAAAAGGACAAAAGTTCAGCTGTGTCCGAACTCTTATCTATTTAATACCATCCAGTGACTCTAATAATCAGTAACAGTATAACAAACTGGGAGGTACGCGGTTTTCTTGACATAATTAAAGACGATGTACTTACGAGTTTTTCTAAATGATACTTTTATGGCCCAAAATGATTTAGGCCAAGCGCCAGAGACAAAAAATGAGTGTTTGGTGGAAATAATTAGAGGAAAGCTGTTTTTTTTTTTTTCAAAAGCATCCTTTTGGGTTTCTGATTATCCTGGTAAGTTTTCCCCCTCCAAAGACCTCTGCGTTGGCCGCCATATTGGAAGAAAGGTGCAAAAATTCAGTTTTTGGCTAATATCTCCGTATTCGTTAGTCCTACATCGAAAATAGCCATGATTGATATTCAAGACAACTCAATTCTCTATAAAAATGTTCTTTTATAATTCATCGCTACGACTTACCGTTTCGACGCTATAGCCGCGAGAAGTGCAAAGTTTCCGCGCGATCGTACAAAATATCGTTGCCCGGTCACCGTATTTGCAACCGCCTAAGAATTACCATCATTGCCAATGTTCAGCTTCACTACTCTTCACTAGGCTTCAAACAAACCCCCCACCTTCGCGTAGGATGTACCCGCGATTATAATAGTAGGGACTTTTTAGCAGGATCTGATCTAATCAGTATAGCCGAGACATTGGTTATCGCTACATGAATTTTGTGCTCGTTTCATTCATTGTGCTTGTGATTTTTTCTGGAAATTATTGAAATGGCGGAGATAAATAATTGTTTTATTTGTGAGATGACTTTATCTGAAAGTGAAAGCATTGTAGTAAAAGAAAGAGGGCTGAAAACTTAAAAAAAATGTAGCGAAATCAGGCGTGATAATAAAGCAATCGCAAGAGAAATTATAAAATGATAAAAATAAAACCAGGCTGATCACTTTGTTATGTGAAAAACTTGAGAAGGCGGGATTTGTCGTTAAACAAGCTGAGGAGGATGCAGACTCTCTCATTGTTCGTACCGCAATCGACGTATCACACAATCACGATTATGTGATGATAGTTGGCGAAGATATTGATCTCTTGGTACTACTGACAGCTCTATCACCGCCTCGTTCGAACATATACTTTATGAAAACTAGCAAAGGAAAAACGAATGAAAAGATATATTCTCTCAACAGTTTGCAATTTCCGAAAGAGGTAAGAGACAATATTTTATTTTTACACGCGTTCAGTGGCTGCGACACAACTTCCTCATTTTTTAGGCAAGGAAAGATGAAATTTGTCAAACTAATAAAAAATGAGGAACATTGCCAAAATCTTCAAGGATCCAGAAGCACATCCAGATGCGATTCATGCGGCTGGACAAACATTAATTGCAGCTCTATACGGAGAAAAAAACGAAGAGATCTCGTTGGATGAGTTGAGATTCCAGATATTTGCCAAACCGCGGCACGGCAGCATTCTCTAAGAACGTATTACCATTATTACCAAGTTCAAAAATGGTATGGAATTGAAAAGAATCCGAAAGATTGGGGCTGGAAGACTACTAAGAACGGTCTGTTACCTATTACTTCTACCAAAGACGCTGCTCCGCAAACGTTACTCAAAACTATCTCATGCAAGTGTACAAAAGGATGCAGAGCAGCTTGTAGCTGTAGAAAAGTTGGTCTGCGGTGTACCACCATCTGCTACAATTGTCGAGGCCTATCTTGCACGAATGTAGATGACAGAATAGACAATGTAGATGATGATCTGGATATTGTCATTAATTCAGACCATTCCATAAACGAGGAGAATGAGGAATGTGCCCAGTATGACCACGACATTTATATTCAAGAGATTAGTGATGAATAACTTTGTCAACCTCCACGTCTTCAATATGAATAGACTTATCTTGGTGAGGTGGACTAGGCCTACAGGGGATACCACCTAAAAAAAAACGCGCCGTATGCTCTACCGCAAGGTGGTTTGGAAATGGGTAGATATAGTTGAACATCGGTCAAAAACATTCGAATTCATCAATAAACACAATATTCACTTGAAAAAAATCAAAAGTGAGAATTGTGTGATGCAAAAAGGGAGGTACGGCGACCGGACAACGATATTTCGTACGGACGCGCGGAATCTCTGTACTTTTTTTGGTGATAGAGTCGAAACGGTACGTCTCAGCTATAAAATGTATGGATACTTTTTTATAGAGAATTTGGTTCTCTTCAAAAACGATGAGATTCATTTTTCTTGTAGGACAAATGGATACGGAGATATTAGACAAACACTGAATTTTTGTACCTTTCTTCCAATATGGCGGCCAACGCAGAGGGTTTTGGAGGGGGAAAACTTAGCAGGGTAATAAGAACTCCAAAACGAAGCTTCAAACAAAAATTCAGCTTTCCTCTAATTATTTCCTCCAAAAATTCTCTACGGCTTGGCCTAATTCCCATAGCAACGCGTTTTTCTGAAAAGGTGCGTTCGATAGTTTAATACATGATGGCGCTCAAATACAATTCTGAGCTCAGATAGAAGGCGACGATATGGCAAATTTTTTCCCTAGCCGGTTTTTTCTGCCGGTGAGTGTATGTCTCAGATTCAGTTTCCCTGTTTCAGAACTGCCACATGGCGGTAATCGAAATGATAATGCTGCTCTACACCAGGGAGGTGGTGACGTCTGACCGCGTCAGGGCGGCCGTGCAGCGGTTCAGTCACGACAGGACGGCGGCGGCGGCGGCATCAGACGATTCTGAACAAGGCCTGCTCCTATCGTGGGTGGCGCATGCGTGCCAGGCGCTGCGCAAGCGCGTGGAGCGGGAGACGGAGGGGGGCGGTATGACGAACGGCGGCGGCGGGGTGAGTGGGCTAGGTCCACTTAGGACAGATCATAGCTCCTTTCTCTTTTAATCATCTAGTGACTTTGGTTTCGTGTATTGGCGGCCCTGACATGACATTGCTGTCACGTCACATTCGCAGGCGTAAAAAGAAATCTTACATTCAATATTTCGAGAAGAAATAATTTTCTAATCAATTTATCGTACCCTTTTACCCACTCGAGGAGACGCTATGCACTCTGTACTCTGTATCCTTTATTTAAGCGAAAAACATATTCTTGTCCTTGTCTGACAAAACATATGATTTGCTTCAAAATCTTTTGTGGTTATGTTTGATTGTCACTGCTTGTCTAGTGTCCGTACTCTAATATACAAAAAACGTCAAAACAACAGTGTCAAGTACATTTAGGAACTCTAGTGTCGTCTAGACATACTATTGACTTCATTATTGTTCACTATCAATGATGATACAAATATGCATGTCTGAAAAATGCAATGACTTTCTTTTTGACTTTGGATAAACCATACTATTTTGGCACTTCCGGTGTGCAGGATGTGACATCGACTTTTGATTTTCAGGAACTTCTTTTTTTACATTTCTTGATTAGAGAGATAATCTTATATACAATAGAATCGTGTTTGGTTTGAAATTTTGAGAGAGTCATGTTTTATTTTGATTGTATAATATCAACTTTTGTGGCTTTATTCATATCATATTTTCTCATCAAATTCTAAAAAAGAGAAGAAAACGATTGAAGATTTCGAAGAAACAATGGGGAAGACCACTGATTTTTTGAAACGACATCATCGTGAACCCAATACTGAAAAACTACCAGTGAATTAATTTTGAATTTTTCCATTCATGCTGAGACGATGAAAAAAATGAATTAGAATGTGTCTTAGTCCCAACACGCCTATCGTCCTTGAAATGACCAATCACACTGCAATACTGCAGAATGGCAAGGTATCAGAGAGAGATAGCTACAGTTCGGGACTCATACGTCACGGCTCGACCATCATATTTGGCTGTTTGAAATATCGAATGAAATATGCTGATTTCAAAACGATATAGATCCGATTTCTTTCAACTTCAACTCATAATATTGATTGTACATAAAACGTAAATCTTGATTCGTCGATTGAAAGAGATTTGCACGGATTTCTTTCCTCAGTGGTCTTCCCCATTTTTGATACTCTAATTGCCTCAGCAATTGGCGCATTGTAGAAACGTATTCTTCAGGTTTATTTTTCACTGTTTCCTATGGAGGAATAAGAAGGCAACTTCATTTTTTTCAATGAGAAGTTGCTGATACAACCCTCCAAAATCAAATAATCTTGGAACAACCTTGTTCATTGGAGTCTAGCTGCAGGGCTACACCTAGATTGACATCATAACTGAATGATATTATTACATGGAAATCGAATTCTTAAAATTATAATTTTCTTCATCAATTCAACTATAGATTTTTGAAGATATCAGCTTTGATGAACTCGTTTTTATTTCCAATAATAATCTGCAGCCACATAGGATTATAGATAAAGTTCAGACCATAGATCTCTCGGGATAGTGTACCGTCCTCGGTACCGTCAGTACAAAATTTAAAAAATATCCCAACGAATAATAACACTTATTCAACTAGAGCTGTTGTTGTTGTACGTAGCCGCGGAGCGGCGAGTGCGTAATTCCATGAGTGCGTAATTGCTTTACAACACGCATTACGTACTATACTTTACCTACTGCCATATAATACATCAAGAAAGTTTGGACAAACAGTCTGAATTATAATTCTTGACAGTTATGTCATCCGCTGTTGACTGCGATTACGCGATCATGACATACCTATACTGGCTTAATAAACGAAAACTGTGCGATGTGCTTACTGTGCGTAAATTGCTACATACTGAGGCTGTATCTCGTGTGTTCTTGCCTACTTTCTGTAGTGGCCGTAGGTAAATAATAATATCAATTCCTCAGGGCGATAGGTTGAAGGTGCCCGACTTCCCGCCCTTGAGAGAGCTGAAAGACTTGTGCGACGGCGTCGGGCTGGCTGCCCTCATCTCCTACTACTGCCCCGACGACCTCCATTGGACCGAGATCAGGGTGTCGCAGATGCCCTCCGTGCAGGACAGCATCCACAACTTGAGGCTGGTGCAGGATTTCTGCGCGAGCTGTCTGCCCGCTTCGATTTTCCATCTGATGCCGGAAGACGTCACTTATATGCGAGAGTAAGTGCCTGATCCGTTTTCGGTCGCATATTATATTAGACTGGCAGGTAGTCACAGATTTTCGGACGTGATTTAACCCAGTATGCCTGGGTATCATTATGTATACATTGTATTCCAATAGAACTCAATCAATGTGATTCAATATTTGAAAATTACTATATACAATGAAGTTTCAAAAACTGGAAACATGGTTTATTTAAATAAATTACTACTACAAAAGTTGAAATTTATTTCACTATAACAAAAATAAGTATTCTGTATTGCTCCCGCATGGATTATTTGTTGCTCCCTGTCTATAGATGGACAACTTCAGGTGCACGAATTGAATACTATCTGAATTGGTCCATCAAGAAACATGACGCAAGAGAGACAGGGTGCAACAAAAGTGTATCCTATGTCCTTTTTAATACATCTAAGAATATGTATGAAGTATATCCAATATGAATTGCAGAATATCTCGCACTGTGCGGCGTCGGCGTGTATGAAGTTTCCTTTGAAGTGACTGCAGGTGCGGCACGAGAATCTGCAATTGTTTTTGGATAAACTATACAAAGTTTCATGATAATCGGATGAATAGTTTTGTTGTGATAGCCTGACAAACAAACCTACATTCACATTCATAATATCAGTAGGGATTGTGATGTTAAAAAATGATGCATGAAAGAATCGTTCTGGGTTCTTCATGCGTTAAAGTTAATTAACATTATTTGTTCGCAAATTGAGCGTTTTTAATACAATGTCACTCTAACTGCCTGTGTTCCAAAAGCTACAAACTTCACAATGATTACCTCTTCAAAAAATCTGTAAAAGAACTACTGTTGAGAAAATGTTATTACAGTATTCAGGAGTACTTCTCGGACAGAGAAATATAATGTTAGATTCAAATCCAGTATAGTGACTGATTTCATGTTCAAGTGTCTCATTCTTTCTGACTTATCCTATACATTGTAAAAATGTCCTACAGGATCAATAAATATTATTATTATTATTATTATTATTATTATAATATAAGTGATAAACGTAGTCGAACATACAAAGACATACCGGTTGCGTCAGCCGTAAAGTTACATTAAAAAAAAAAACATTTTTTCTCGATTTCAAATAAGCAAACCGTTTGCATATGTCCAAGTACACCTAAACTGAAAACATGCTTCAATTCATGACGAACCCGGTAGCGATTTTCCTAAATATACTGCACGCTAGCACAAACCACGCCCACCATAATACGTCATATCTCATACTGTGCTCCAACGCAAGAACTGAAGCTTTCTCGTTGTCAATCTCTTGTACGCAGTAAATTCATACACCCAAATGGTCTACTGGTTAGCGCTGTCGACTCTCAGTCTGAAGGTTCATGGTTCGAATCGCTGTGAACTCGAACTTTTTTTTGCAACTTTTTTTTTTCACCAATGTTTTTTTACTTCATTCTGGTTTTCCTTTTTCATAAAATATTTGAAGTCAAATAGGTTAGTGCGTTTAGGATAAACAGTCTCATTTTATTCAATTTTGTTGAAGAACTCAACTTTTGAAATATATTATTAATCAATGTGTTTCTACACTCCATTCGGTTTTCCTTCCTCAAAAATATTGCAATCAGGGATAGGTTAGTTCGTTGAGGATAAATAGTCTCTGAGTTTTGCCTAAGTAAAGTACTTTGAAGATGAGATATAACGTGGTATGTGCTACTTTTTCAATCGATTTATTTATATGAATCAGCTACGTTGTGCTGTCAAAGATTAGATTTTGCAGGATTGTGCTGGGCTCGATTATATTTTGCAATGCCGTAGTAGGGGGCGTGTCTTGTGCTGCAATAGTTTATATTTAGTAAAATCGCAACCCGGTAGGATTCCTTCATGTGCCATTTTCAACATCAAAATATATACATAATGATACACTCCAAAAGGCAAACTAGGTGAAATCACGTCCGAAAATCTGTCACTACCTGCTGGTCTATATGGAAGAAGTAACTCTCCTGAAAATCAGCGGTGTCCCTTAAAGGTATTTACAAAAACTTGCAAGGGCGTACCCAGCGAGGGGCAGGGGGGGGGGCAGCTGCCCCCCCCCTAGAAGTTATCCTGCCACTTGACTTTTTCCCGAATACTGAAAATTTTGTATCTTAATCATGATTGAGCAAAATAATGATGTTTCATAAAGAAAGATTTTGAATATTTTTGTTGAAGTATTGTGTTTTTATATCAGTTATATAAGTCGCTTATCGCAAAGAACATAATTTGATCGCAAGAACCAACAAAAAAAGTAACCTAAATTGCGATAAATCGCGGTATCTGGCAACGCTGTTGCCGTATACCCGTTTGTATATTCGATATTGTTCAAAAACTTGTGATGCTTGTGAACGAATATTTTATTTGCGATGAAGTCGCAGATCTGTATGATGTTGAACTAGAAATATGAGTTGATACATGGTTATGGTTTGACAGGTTTATGAACGTGTGACAAGATCAAGGACAAACCTAAATACGATCGAAAAATAATGTATGTTGTGATTTACCAATGTGCCTACCTATAGGTATAGGAAAATTCACCTATATTCATTTTGTTTTGTTATTTTTTCATTTCTAAACAGAATCTGAATGAATAAAGTTTTCTACGATTTTTTATCTGATGATATAAACTAACTGAAAATGATGAAATATGATCAAAAATGTCGCTAAATCACGAAAAAAAATTTTCTTTCTGCTCGCTTCGCTCGCTTTGGCGACTTCTAGCGGTTTTTTTCCTAACTTTTGGCGACATATCATCTTCAGCAGCTGGCAACACTGTTTGTTACATTCTGGCGGCTTAGGACGTTACCAATGGGTGAGACAAGGCTGACTGGATTATGCTTGATGAGCGTACATCGTAATTTTGTGGAAGAAAACCGTAAAATGGTGGAAACAAAAGTAACGGAAAAATTTGCAGCGAACCCGAGAAGATTATTATTAAGATGAAAATATAATAAAGAACAGTTAATTGAAATACTTATGTTTATTAAGATTTGAAAAAAACGTCTCAGTTGAAGCATGGCATGTCTAGTGAGTGATACTGATTCTCGGTAGGTAGTTTCTAGTTCCCTTGTCTAAGCTGCCCCCCCCCCCCTAGTTCAGATCCTGGGTACGCCCTTGAAAACTTGAGCAAATTTACCTAATTTGGTAGGTTGGCATAGCTTTTTTGTCCATTCTATGGTCATATAACTTGTTTTTTTCAGTAAATAAATCTAAAACTTCTACTCCAATAGAAAGAAAATGGTTTGAATATGAAATTTGGATTGCTTAACTTGTTCACCACAAGAAGGTACTTTTGATAAATTTCGATTACCCTCATGGTTTTCACAAAATTTTAAGTTTAGTGATTCAAAGCAGCAGTCAACACTAAAACGCTCATGGTTTCCATTACATTTGATTTTTAGTAATTTGAAGCATTCACAGATATGTGATGAAAATTGTTCAAAATGTTCACCATGCTCACATAAAGATTTATACAACGAAAAAATGGATACAAGCAAACTCACCTCACTACAAAGTTGCTCATTCTGGGCGCTAGACAGCGTCGCCACTCAACAATTCCTTGACATCATGGCACACGGCAAGAAAGTCCGGGAACTTTTTATAATTACTTTCACTGAAAATTTGAAAGTGAATTATTACTTATCATTACCAGATAACCAATTTACTGTTCCATAATGATCATGGTGTTCAAAACATCATATTATCTCATGAAAATATATTCGAAAAAAATACAGGGTGTTTGGAAGATCTTCCAGTAGAGTAAAATGGGAAGGTGATTTAGAATCAATTCAATCAAATACATAATTAGGAAAAACACATTTAATTTTTTCATTTGAATGTTCAAATTCTCTACTATAATCAATCATGTAAGTGAACATTTTATCGAATGGGATACATGAAACCTGAAATTACCAATTTCAAACATTTAATATGATGTAATAACTCCTTCAACTTTTCTATTTATGTACTAAAACTCCAAAACGGTGAGTGTTTTGCTGAGAATGTATTTGGTCAAATTGATCACAAATAATCCAATCAACCTAGGAAAAAATCTTTATCTGTTTGCAAACCCTAATGCTTTATTACTTGTTGAATAACCATAACGTTTTTTTCGGAGTTATTTACAGATAAGATCAAAGTAATCTATTTCTACCACGGTTCGCCATTCCAGAATTGCAGATCTCTCATCAGTAAATATAAATTCGTGAGACACAATCAATCAATCATTCAATATCTGTTTGCAAACCCTAATGTTTTATATCTTCTTGAATAACCATAAAGCTTTCATGTGTGTGTAATCTAGTTGTATCATGATTTGCCGATACAGAATGCAATTTCTCTTATCAGTAAATATAAATTCCAGAGATATAATTAATCATTCACTATATTATGTCTTATATTTTCTCTGCGACTGTTTTAAATTACTCATACATTCGCCTCGGCGTCTTTTGATATGTTTATTGAAGCTGCCATAACCTTTTGACATCCTTTAAATAATAATAATAACAATAATCATTATTATTATTGTTATGCCTGGTGATTTCAGTTAGTTTTTTTCAAATATGCGGGTTAATGAATGTTGCTGTGAAGAAGAATGACATTATACATATTCAAAACGAATTTATTTATTTAATGCAGTTCGATGAAGCAAAACCTCATCGTCTTCCTTGCCGATCTTTTCAATGTGATAGAAATCAATCCCGCCAAATGTGTGCGGTATCCTGGTATGGACAAAGTCAATAATGGTAAGTTCATTATTTGATTAATCAGTGTGTCGCGCTTCGAGTTTTGTTCGTTTTGGCTTCGTTATTTATTATTTGGCAATGTTTTGTTTCTTTATTGAGCTTTGGTTGAAAAACTCTTGTTATTGTCTCTAAATCGAAACAATATTCCTATGTAACTTCTGACACTATAAATACAGTTGATAGGTATTTTTAGAATTTAAATTTTTGGTATAAACTCATAATTATTGTTATGTTATTCATTTTGTTTTTTTGATCTCGTAATCACCATCAGCATAATCACCATTTGATACACAGTGGGCCAGCAATATGGCCGATTCAAAAAGTTCATATACAGGATGACTCATTTTAAGAAAAAATGTTCCTATAAACATATGTGCAGAGTTGCTAGATACAGGGCGTTGAAGTTAAAAAAAGGTAGCTATTTATAAAATATCATGAGTATACTAAAACCGATTTGGTAGAAATTTGGTTAATTTCAAATTCAAAATTTACAAAATTTCAATATTTAACAAATCATCAATATAAAAACAACAAACAAACCAAACCAATTTTTGGACAGCTAAGGAGATGTGAGTTCATTATTCCAAATTTTTTGGGATTTTCTCTCCTCGTTTCTATAAAATAAAAATATGAATATTATTTCAATATACGTGTAGTAAGGACAAATCAGATGATTTGCCCCAAAATGTCACTGCGTTTAAAGAATTTTCCTATCAGAGAGCCTAAAAGAAAAATTCACTAGCTTGTCAGTGACAATTTGTATTGAAAAAATTTTTGGAGAAGGGAAATAAAGGTATATAGAAAAAATATCAAATTTTCACTTATCTTTGGACGTTTCGGGACCGGTTCTGTGTATGTGTAAATGCTCTCTGAAGTCATCGACAGAGTAGAAGCAATATCTCAATAGGTACCTTTTAAATTGATTCTTGAAATAATTCACACTTCATTCTTCCAACTGTGACAGACCAATCCAAGACAAATGCTCCCTGATTGTCTATGTGAAAGTTGTGTTGTTTATATAAACGTATAGAAATTCAATCAAGAGTCGGGTTCATATTTTATAAGGGCTCAAGTGACCTTAAATTACCGAAAGGTGGCAATCAAACAAGAAAATATTAAACTATGCCACTTTTTGGTAATTTGAGGGCTTGTGCCTTTATAAAATATGAATACTGACCCTTGATTGAATTTTCATATTTTTATACTTTTATATACGCAACTTTTACATAGACAATCATGGAACATTTGTCTTGGATTGCTTTGTTATTGTCTACTTTATTTGAATTTCTATTATTTTTATTTCCATAACTTTGAACTTTTTATCGGCTGTTGATGGGCTTATATAAGCCTTAAACATGTACCTTTATGATTGATCTTTGATCATTCTTGATGAAAGTTGTGGAGATGACTTTGGGTTTTCATCTATGAACTACACCACTCCACTTTGAGTTACCATGGACTTCTTCCAGTGGTTAATTAAATTTTTACCTGTCCAGGATCGTTTTTTTATCTCCAACGCCCTGTATCTCAGAAGCGAAGTAACTCCGGACATAATATATTTATGGCGTTGTTTATGGAATTTTTTTTAATACGACCTAACGAATCACCTTCTGAAGTTCCGTACCATAGTTAGGAAACACACTGTATAATTTTTTGAAAAATTGTTTTACTCTGATAAATTACCATTTTAAGTTTTGAAAATCATATGTACAGGTGCTGCCAATTCATTACGTGGAATCATTTGTTGATTGAACATGGATATATCGCGTTGTCTGTATTATACAAGGTGTTTTTGAAATAAGTGCACATACTCAGCACATTAATATGATACAGTCTAAGGCCCATGATATCAGATTTTATCTAATTCTAATTCTAATTAACGAGAAACTGAATGCCAAAAATTGAACAAAATACGAGAAAAAGATCAAGTACGCCACTTTGAAAAAATTTAAATGATTGAACTCCGCATGATTTGAACAGAGGTGACGTCAGATTTGCTACAGTGAAAAACTTTGAGTGGAAAAAGGGGTCTAACCTCTCATTTTATTTTGATCTCTAAATTTTTTTATTTGTGCCATTCGATAGTACACGTCGAGCTTTCTCAGTGTTTGAAATATTTACAATTATTTCAATGCCACCCTGTATAGAACGGTAGATGGCGCGAGTGTCCAATCATGTGTGAAAACATTTAGGCAAATATGCATGGTTCTAAATTGTTGCGTATAAATTACGTTGAGAACCAAGAAATCTTGACAACTAATTGGGAATAACACCGATATTCGATTGATTTTGTTTTAAATGATTATTTTTTATTGGCCTTGAGTGCAGACCTCAAATGTCAATTGAAGATACTTAATCCATAAACTTCTGATAACTTCATCTCAATAATGAATGCATAAATTCTTTTTACAAATATCAGAATTATCCTAATCTGTTTACCTATTTTTAGCCATATTTCTGTTTGTTTATCATATTTGTTGATCTTCCTTTTTAGTTTGAACATTGTATAAAATGTACATTATCTTGAAAATGTTTATTGTTTGTTTTCGATCTGATTAACCTGAACTTGGTGTAAAATTATTGATCAACCGCAACCTCAGATGACCTTTGCCTGTAATCTTGGTCTGGTCAATATTGAATTTCTGATTTGCATAAGCGGTCTCGTAAAGTGTCCCACTTTTACGGTTGACGGGGTTTCTTATTCTTAGTGTCCACAACCCTTTTCTGGAGTGAACGCGTGTTGTAAATTCCATGTCTGGCTGTGGTTTTTTTTTCAGTTTCCTTGATTGTTTTCTTTAACTTGCTTTTTGTGGTTTTCTGTTGCTTTTTTGGTGAGTGACACGCGGGTAATATGTGGTGGTGGTATTATATTGGTAAGAGGCACTTTTTAGATAGCATGGAAATTGCTAGAATATTTGAGTAGCAACAACTGGACCTATGATCATTCCTAATTATGAAACTGAAGTTCCAAAATTATCTGTAGGTGTTATTGAGATTGAGATTTAGAAAAATAATAGTCTGAAGCATCTTATAACGCTAGTTTTAAATCATCATCGTAACAGTTCATGAATCACTGAATTCGAATAATAGTTGTTGATTTTAGTAATTATTATTTATAACTGTGAATAAGTTGATTATAAATTAATATAATTAGCCAGTATTTCGTCAAGATCAAGATCAGCTAGACTAAAACTACCGGAAAAGTAACCATTATAATCAAATTGAATCTTGCTTCGTACTTGGTATTATATATGAATAATATGATCCACATCTACAATACTAGAAGAGGTAATGAACTAAGACTACCTTATTCTCGTTTGGCTCTGGGACAGGACTCTGCGAGTTATCAAGGTATCATTTGCTATAACCATGCACTCAAACTATTTGGAAACGCATGTAGCTTAGGAAGTTTCAAATCAGCTCTATACAATCATCCAGTCCAAAATGCATTCTACGCTGTTGAGGAATTTTTACAATCTAAATGAGTATTCAGTATTATAAAACTTTAATCCTTTAACTTCTATTTTTAAATGTTTGTGTCTGTTCAAATGTTTTTATTCCTGTTCTTGACTAGTCTGATAAAATTTTATAAATGTATGTAATACAGATGTAGAATTTTCAATGATGAATACATTTCTATTCTATTCTATATAATTATATACGAAGTTTCAGAAGACATTTTTCTTAGCAGGAGTATTAGTTCCCGAGATTTTTCGGCATCGGCCTTGATAATTTTGTTCTTCTTGAATGCATTTGCATCCTATAACAATTTAATATTATAGAGGATAAGATAGAATAACAATATAGAAAAATCTTCGAGAATCTTAGATATAAATAGTATCCACGTAATATTGAAAAAATCTCCACAGTTGTCCTTATTGAGATCAACTATGAGTCGAATCGAAATAATACAGATTGTTGAACTAATTTCGTGGGTGATTTCCTTGTAATAATGAATAATGAGTTATTTTGAAAATATGTACAGGGTGATTCACCATAAATGTCCCCCCCTCTAGCTCACTTATTTTTTATCCGATTCAAAGATTTTAAAAATCATCTTAAATGATTTTTCAGAAACTTTTTTCCCTTTGCATCAGAAAATACAGGGTGCTCGGAACAAACGATCTACAAAGTACTACTTGATTTTTTTTAATGGAAATCCCTGTATTTCATTGTATTATTAGATTCTCCCTGAAGAGCTGATTTCATCAATGCATCACACTTGGGGTCTAGCGGGAATGATTACAGAGATATAGGGTGTTCAAAATCGAGATTTTTCAACTTAAGTATTTTTTTGTGTCGAAACTATTCATTATTGGTCAAAACGGCATTGATGTCCTTCTATCAATTTTTGATTTACTATCTACTGACATTTAATTGGAACATATACAGTGTGGTTCAAGATTCAGAATTCCGATCACCCTGTATCTGTTCCAATTATGAAATGTCAGTAGATTGTGAAACAAAAGTTAAGATACGGACATGAAAGTCGTTTTAACCGATAGCTGTTCAGGGAGAATCTAAAAATACAATGAAAAATAGGGTGTTTCATTTAAAAAAATCAAATAGTACCCTGTAGATCGTTTGTTCCGAGCACCTTGTATTTTCTGATGTAGCGGAAAAAAACTCTATCGGAAATCATTTCAGATGATATTTAAAATTTTGCAATCGGTTCAAAAATAACTGAGCTAGAGGGGGGGACATTTATGGTGAATCACCCTGTACTTAAATGAACAATTCTTTTTGATGGCAAGCATAACAGTAATGTTCCACCAACTTGTTTCTATAGTGCTTGCTTAACAATTTAGCGGGTAGCAAATAGTTGAAATGGTTCTTTAAACAAACTTACTTTGCAGTGATATGCACTTTGGAAAAAGTAAAGTGCTAGTTTTTGTTTGAAAAACTAATCTACTTGCCCCGCGGGAATATGTTATTGAAAAAACTACTGTCTAAAAAATGTCAACATCCTGTATCTCATAAACAAATCGTTCCTTCAGATATACAGCGTATCTCATTTCTAACGCTTCTCCCACTCTGTATCTTAGTCGTGCGATTAGTACCAAATTGGGACGAACATCATTTTGGACAGTGCTGTTCGTTTTTATAAAAATGAAAAGTGTGGAATTCACCCTCCAGAATTCGTTACAGCTACAGCATTTCCACGACACCCTATACTTAGTTACTTATAACATAAGCGTCCAAGTTGTTGTTGCTAAAACCAGGTAACAGTCGATAGCGATGATAGATGGCATCGAGTTACTAGTAGTTAAAGAAATTAACCATAACCTCTAACCGAGTTAACAAAACATTGAATTGCTTCTTTACTGATGCGGCCGTAGAAGTTATGCCCCCGAGCAACTTGCACGGGGTGATCCATAAACGTAACCTGGTCCAGACCGTGATGGCGCCCATACCGGATCTGCGTAGCGGCATCGATGACCACGCAGATCCTACCGCCTTCCAAGGTAATCCATCCTCCACTTCAGTTCGGATCATCTCAGTAGGTCTCGAGCAGAGTGTCTAGAATATCTGACGTTTGATGCTTTTTATATTCTCTTTCTTTTCGGACTTACGCACTGCTCATTGATTGGAGTTTCAGTTCAATTGGTTGTTTCCACTGACATGAAGTACTAGACCGCTAGTGCCATAAGACGTTGAAGCTATTCCACTCACGAGATCGAATTAGCGAGCATGAATCATGCTCATTCAGGACATGTCATATATTTTACTAATTCTTACTCATGTTTTCGAACACCAAGAGACATGATAGTAGATGTCATGAACGACAGTTTGGGAGTTCCTTCGCATTGAGCAGAAGCGTTTTCAGGCGAGCAATTTATTTTTCTGGTTGCTGGGCGGTAGCGGTCTAGGTAGTAGTTTATGTCAGTGTTATATCACTTAACAAGTGCATAAAACTTGAGCTGACGTTACCCGGTACCTTCTCGGTGTTGACATTGCAGTTTAGGGAGTATTCCATCCTTTGTTAGTGCATTTATTGGAACGGAGCAGAAAATCTTATTCGTTCTCTTACAAAAATCATTTGTGTCACATATTTTATCTCAGCTGTTTAACGACATGACAAGTGTGTCCTCACTCTTTAAGAAGCATTAAATATCAGATGGTCGAGACACTTTAGTATCGAGCTGACATTCACGATACACACATCGCTAATTTAACGTTAAAGGTATGATATACCGGTCGCTTGTCGCTCGCTTACCGAAAACTTCATTGATTAGATCCAAAGGACTGCATTGAAAGTTTTCATAAAGTCAAGTGACATTATGATCGGTGTATTATCAATTTTGGAATGGAAAAACGCGCTGTTATGAAAATATTCACTAGTTTTTATTATCGAAAGCTAATCTTCTTTCTCATTTTCTTATGTCAATGTTGAATTAGTATTGATTTATGTTTCGTGAATCCAGCTTTTTTCATCGATCCTACTAACCTGAAGCAGCATCTTACACCCATTGAGTTTTTCCAGCAGTAATATTATTTTGGAGCAGTTACACAAAATGGGGTTAGATTGAGTCGACAGACAATTGGGTCATACAAACTCTTTAAATATGATATCTATTTCTTTGAATAGCATAGTGGTTCTTATCCACTTAGTATCAGTAAATGACATCTGCCAGCAGTACTATTCTAGGGGTGGAACGTAATGGCTATTGGCGACAATGACGTACAATACACTTTTTGGATTCCAGGAACCATACCTCCGTTCTGAGCCATTAGATTGGGACATAATGACAAGATGTTGATGTAACGTTTGGCATTTTCGAAAAGGGTGATATACCCGATTTCTTTAGTTGTCCCAGTTGTCAACAGACCGAGAGCGAATGATGAGGCATAGTGATCCGAAACTGTGATGATAGCTCTATTCTGGTCTATGTAGTTCTTCCGGCTTCCTCTACACGTGAATTTGTAGGAAATAATTCGAAAACCAGAGGCAACAACTGAAGTTCAAGTGAACTATTTTATTGTAACTATCCTCATTGAGAATATTATAATGTTGTTTCGTATTTTCTGAAGTTCCCTCTGAGATGACTGATATTTTGTGTAACAGCTTGAATATTAGCTTTTTTAGATTTAGTTTGCCATCTGCATGATTCAGATATAACTTGATTTTACTAACATGCACATATCTTACACTTCGTTTCAACAGACTCTCAAGTATTTGCTGTATTTGGATAAACCAAATTTTAGGGTTTCAAATTTTCAACGGTAGTGGTAGAGTGTTGAACAACGTATACAAAAACTTGACAATGTACAGATGCAATTTTAAAACTTATCGTCATAGTCCAGCAGCTGGGTAGTTTTGATGTTCAGCATGTTTGTTTTGAAAGTAATGAAATTCATTCGAGAAAAGTGAATTATTCACAACATGATTCAGTTGTTTTGTCAATGCTGGTAATCTTGGAATGTCTTCTAAATAAAACCATTAAAACAACCCAGCACTTGGAATAGTGGATATAATCAATTTGTGGCCCTTTAGATGGGTTGATATCAGAGAACATATTGGTTATGGGTTGTGAATAAGGAATTATCTGTAAATATAAACCGAAGTCAGGTTATTCCAGGCATCCAATATTTCAATTAATTTCCATCTACATCTTCCTTGGAGGTTTTATATAATCATCGGCAAAAAAACTGTTGCTGTTATTATCGAATTAAATTGGTGTTATTGATTGTTTTCTCTAGCCCATTTGTATCCAGTATCATCAACAAGTTGCTTTTCAACCTGTTACCACCCTCTATTCGAAACTCGATTCGAAATAATGATAATTAAGGGTGGCCGGTTTCGTTTGCCGGTGAGTTTATGTTGTGGTTCGTATATCTCTAGTGTCAAGATCTACGCCGACGCATCTTCCTCTCAGGAAAACGAACTCTCTTCAACAGAGCATGTCCGAGATGACGGAAGACAGTTTGCGCCGTGGTTCAGAAGATTCTTTCGTCGTTCACAGGGGCAAGAACATACCAACACTCAAATCCGTCGTCCAGGATGAACCACTTATCCCTGCGAGGCTAAAAGTTAGTAAAATCAAACATAATAGTGTCGCAATTATCATTGAGTCGCTTGAAATCCAGTATGAGGGTTACTACTTGAACAAGGCGGTAACAATTATGAATAGCAAGTAGGTTCAGTTCTGAAACACTATCAGCCGATTTATTATAAACGTTGGTGAAATGATATTTCGTAATAAAGACGGTTTATTATTATTATTATTATTTATTATTAAATATTTGAGGTTAATATAGTGAACTATTTGAAAAAATATTTCATCAATGCAAAGAGGTTCAGAGTGTGTCAACGTTGTTTGTTGAAAATATAGCCCTACGCAAATATTGGTAATCTGAGAAGTTCTGAACAAACAGAACTAGTTAGATTAGCAGTCATGCCAACTGTCATATTGTTGAAAGATAACCAAGTAACACTAGCGTCACTACGCGGAAATATCGCCATCTCTGCTATCATTCAACTTATCAGAAACTATTTGAAATTCAATATGAAGATACTTGACAAAACAAATTATGCTATATCTGAAGTACTTATACAAAGAAGTATCGGTGGTAATTTAGATTGTTTGGGAATGTATGGAAAAATTGCATTTCATCAACCCGTAGAAATTATCGCTGGTTATTTTTCTGTTTCACACCATTGTTCGAGTAGTGACCTGAAATATCGAATTACTCCCTTGATTAATATTTTACTATTCACAATTATATATATTTCATTCATGTTTCACTTCAACAATAATCCAAATTCTTGATTGACACCATATGAACCATTAGTGTCGTTAATTGTAATTCTTACATTTTTGAAGAACATTCAAATGTGTTTTATATTTTAAGGTTAACAAAGAAAAACATAACAACGATAGTAAAGCTGATGAAAGAGGGGAAATGGCTGCTGGAAGACCCAGCAATTGGGAGGATACCAGGAAGAGTACCTTTGCTGGTAGAAGGAGCAGAAGAAATTCTGTATCTGATGATTCTCAGTTGACAATAGAGAATTTTGGTGGTAGTCAGGATAATTTAAACTTCATAGGGAGAAATCCAGATAAGGAGGTTAGTGCATTGCAGAAATATCGATTGTTACAATTATTAATATTCATTTTTCATGACCGACCTCAGAGCTTGACTTGCTACTGGAGTACCTATAAATTATAAGCATTTGACCATTCAACTATTGGGCGGCTATATGGTCTTCTATGTTGTGTTAAATACAGTTCAATGCTTTTTTTTTATTTCTCAAACAGAATCTTCACTCAAATACCTTTCAATCTCATATTTTTAGAATTTTTTCGTTCGATTTTAAGGTGCCAAAATCATCAATAATGCCACGATAATTTTCGTAATTCATTAGTTCATAAATTCTCATTTATGTTTTGGCAATATTCATAGTGATATTCCTTATTAGCAATAAAAATGCAATTGTCTCGAAATGTTCCCTTATGTGTTGTGGCTTATTGCTTATAATAAATTTGTGTAAATAATAATTATATTGATTTAGGCTAGAGAAAATTTGAAGCGGTAAACGTGACGGCGCACGAATTGTGGGCGTGGTCTTGTCAGTTCTAAGCACAATGTTGCCAAGTCTCTAACATTTACATGATATTTTGTTATGGAGTATAAGAAATATTTGGACATGCTGGTTGCTCGGAAGAGTCAAGAGTGAACTTCAATTTCATGGGTTCCTCCTATTATGTTTTATTCAAGAACAGGACCTAACATCTTTTTGATGACTTGATTATAATCGGTGACTTGGCAACCTTGCTTCATGAGTGGGAATGGGAGATTATCTAACCAATAAGAAAACAACATAAAAACTGAGGTCATCATGACGGTACGTTTGAAATGAGCTCTGAAATTCAACAATTTCGAACAAGTCATCGAAAAAATCAATTTAGGTCCCTAACGACACAGTGAAGTAATTGAATGCCTATAATTCATGAGCAGTCCACTCGCCCATTGGTCTAAAATTTTGCCTATTTAGTTATGGTTGATTGATTTCTTGATTTTCAACAATATTATTCCTTGAAGGTTGCTGTACACGTAGGAAGGAAAATATCCGCCCCCTCCTTTCCCGTAGCGCAGGAAAATCTCCCTATCAGATCGACCTATCAGGACGCGCGAGGCTCCTTCCAGCTGGGCTACGACAACGGCTGCGAAGAAAAGCAGGACAACGGCACGGAAAAACTGAAGCTGAAGCGGCAACTGAGCAGCGACGACATCACCTTCAGACAAATTCCCTTGAGCTTGAACAAGGAAAGCCTCATCAGGTAGATAAAATAGTCCATGAGCCGGCTGCTAATTTCGACCGTCATCTGATAATGAAATGATATACAGGGTGGCCATTTGAAAATTAAACAGAGGCTTTGTAGGTCTCCTGATTAGGGTTATAAGAAAAAACACTGGAGCACTTCAACTACAATTTCAAGGGGGACATCATTCTTGAATATCTTCCGCGCTGCGGCATTGCCAGTTCTACCAGAAAGTAGCCACAACTTTGTTATTTCAAGTGAAATCCCTGTATTTCATTGCATTTTTAGATTCTCCCTATCCATTATTGGTGAAAACGGCTCACATGTCCCAATCTCAACCTTTAGTTAACTTTTTACTGACGTTTAATTGGTACAAATACAGGGTGGTTCCTGATTCAGAATTCTGATCACCCTGTATCTGGTCCAATTGATTGCCAGTAGATAGTAATTCAAGAGTCGAGATAGAGACATGAGAGCCAGTTTTGACAATAATGAATAGTTTCGACACAAAATAATCCCAAAGTCGAAAAATCCCGATTTTGAACACCCTATATATCTGTAATCATTCCCGCTACTCGCTAGACCCCAAGTGTGATACATTGATGAAATCATGCCTTCGTGGAGAATCTAAAAATGCTGTGAAATATAGGGTATTCCATTTGAAATAACAAAGTTGTTACTACTTCTCCATAGAAGCGGCAACGCCGCAGTGCTGAAAATATTTTTGAACGATGTCAACAACTACAACAAATGAGATAAAATAGTGGAGGAGGCAATGTCGAATTAACCTCGGAAATATCATTCTTATTAGAGTAGGATTCAAAAAGCGTTCATTTAAAAAGTTTGTGACCTACTATCTGTTCAATTTACTTCTTAATCGTGAATATGCAACAATCAATTTGACAAGGTTGAAACGTTGTTGAGTATTTACAATGAACTGAGGTAAATCGAACAGATAGTGTGTGGCTGCATGCACATTAAAAAAATGACTTGTCGAATCCTACTCTAATAAGAATAATATTTTCGAAGTAAATTCGACATTGCCTCTCCCACAATTTCATCTCTCATTTCTTTATCAACAAAAATTTTGCCGCGAAATTACAGGGTCGGATAGTACTCGATGAAATCTTCAAAATGAGGTATCCCAACACCCCTCATTTCTATTCAAAATCCGTGGGTTCTGTTTGCCCCTGGTAGAGGGTTTGGTTACGGAGATGAAGTGAGCAGACAAAACGTTCCCCCTCTTATCAGAAATCGATAGGTCCGAGCGTTGGTCAGAATTTTCATTTTAAAGTTCTAAAATCGGGGTGTTGAGTTTTCGTTGAACCACTCTGTATGTGTGGCGTGATTCAATAAAAGTACTCAAAATAAAAAATAGCAACTGATTTTTTATCAATATTTGTTACTGTATCTTTATTATCTTATCTTTCTTGAAGTGATAAAGACAATCAATTAATATTAGGATTTCCAATGAATTGTACACATCCATTCATTCATTCGTCCATCAGGGATCTGGTGGATGGCGAGGTGAAGAAAATGAGCTTCGCCGACCTGGCCAAGCAGAAGCTGATGGCCGACAACCAGGCCATCCAAACCGTCTACATGAACGACAAGGAGGAGTACCAGAAACCGGGTCACGTGAACGGCAACGAGAAGAAGACCACCACCTTTGCCGCCCTGCCGAATACGACGACTTGGCAACAACAGAGCGTTCACAGGTAAGGATTAATTTTTGTGTGTGTTTATTCAGAAGGTCTGTGAGTTCTTCTTCTTTCCTGTGGTCTTCGTTTTTACACAACAGCCATAATCTATGTATCATTCATATTCTTGTTCTACAAAGAGAGCTTGCTGTGTGGCATGTCTGGCTTTGTTACCATTAGTCGGGGCTAAATTCCAAAAAAAAACCCTCCGTTACAATCCTAGAAGCATTTCACGTAACAATTGGATAAATGCTGTTAACCCCCTATTTTGACCCCGTTGAATCCGAAAATACCGTTTATCAAGTCGAAATTCCAACCGGAAGTGAGATATTCAAGATGGCGTCCAGAATACCCCTAAAATGAAATTATTTTCTACTTTCGGTCAGCTATACGATTGGGGTGTCGATGTCTATGTTTTCGGGCGTGTAGAATACGATGAGACACTCAAAAAATGATTTGGAGCTTTGAAAGTTCATCGAATGATCAAATTTTGACGAAATGGGCCAAAATTCCAAAGAACTTGTGAAAACGTGTTGTATAATGTACATGCTTGCATACGTTTTCGAGGGTGCTCGATACGTTTATGAGCCAAAATAGCATTCGAACATTGTCCAAGCCTTCATTTCTTATATTTTGAAAAAAAAGTTCACTATTAGTAGTCTTCCTCATCTTTTCTGCTCCATTCGGCTCCCTGCAGCCACACTGCTTCGTGCCGCAGTGGCCGCAGAGCCCCATGCAGCCACAAGTTCCAAATTCGGGACATGACTTGGGAATAGGTAGCAAAGTCATCAAGATTGGGACTTACCGTCCATCACCAATTTTCCAGCCGCAATTAATCGGGTCTGGTGAATCAAGATACTGATCATGGGCGTTAAACCACACACTAGTACCTGAAAAGAAAACAGACTAAAATTGAAATCTCTCGATTTTTTCTATTTTCTTTTTCTTCTTGTTAATTTTATCTGGAAGTGGCACCGAAGAATGTGTTGATGGATGGCATCAGTGGTAGATGGCAAAAATCATTCGCACTGTCCCAAAAATTGCAACACGGGCTTCGTCTGCCGTTGTAATGTCCGGTCCAACTTGAAATAAAAATGATATCAGTATAAAAACGACTAACAGTTTTAATTCACCATGTGTCTTAGAAAAAGGACGCAACAAACCTTGTATAAAGCTGGCACCACCAACTGTTCAACCAAACGGAGATCCTAGGGGGCTATATCAGGAGTCTTTCCAAGCTGACTGAGGAGTTTACAGAAGTTTTCCTCAATGTACTGCTTCCACCGTCCTGTTTTTCTGGCAGACCCTCATCAAGATTTAGTATCACATACGGTGATTGCGTGGAAATCCATCAAGTTTTTGATCTGTTGTGATGTGAGCTTTCTACATAGTTTCTATCTCGGGAAGTACCACACATCACCCAGCATTTCTTGCATTTCATTTTTTCAAAGTGATAGATGAATAATGAAATCACACTAGTGTCTTTAACAGAAACAACAACTGCCTCTCTTTCGGTTTTTACGCATGGAGTATATTCCAATTCACGAACTATGTAAGAAACTTGCACATAAAAAACCTGATGGCTTTCCACGCAATCACTGGATGTGATACTACATTTAAGTTAGCGTCAGTCACAAAAACAGAACGGTGGAGCAAGTACATAGAAGAAAACTACTGTAAACTCTTCAGTCAGCTTGTAAAAACTCCCGATCTAGCCCCCGATGATCTCCGTTTGGTTGAACAGTTTTTGTGGTGCAAGCTTTATACAAGGTTTGTTGCGTCCCTTTTCTGAGACACATGGTGAATAAGAACTATTAGCCGTTTCGATACTACTACCATTTTTATTTTGAGTTGGACCGGACATTACAACGGCAGACGCAGCCCATGTTGCAATTTTTTGGACAGTGCGAATGCTTTTCGCCATCTACCACTGATGCCCTCCGTCAACACATTCTCCGGTGCTACTTCCAGGTTAAAGAAAATTGAACAAATCGAAGGATGTTAATGTTATGTTCAGATACCAGTGTGGATTAAGGCCCATGATCAGTATCCTGATTTATAATACCCGAATAATTACGGCTGGAAAATTGTTGATGGACGATATGTCCCAATCCTGATGACTTTGCCACCTATTCCCAATTCATTTTCCGAATTTGGAACTCGTGGCTGCAAGAAGCTCTCTCAAAATATAAGAAATGAAGGCTTGGACAATGTTCAAATGCTTTTTTGGCTCATAAACTTATTGAGCACCCTCGAAAGCGTATATGCAAGCATATACATTATGCAACACGTTTTCACAAGTTCTTTGGAATTTTGGTCTATTTCGTCAAAATTTGATCATTCGATAAACTTTCAATGATCCAAATCATTTTTTGAGTGTCTCATCGTATTTTACATCCCCGAAAACATAGACATCGACACTTCAATCGTATAGCTGACCGAAAGTAGAAAATAATTAGATTTTAGGGGTATTTCGGACGCCATCTTGAATATCTCACTTCCGGTTGGATTTTCGACTTGATAAACGGTATTTTCGGATTCAGCGGGGTCGAAATAGGGGGTTAACGTCATTTATCCAATTGTTACATGAAATGCTTCTAGGATTTGGCTTTTCGCAAAACAAGCCCCGACTACATACTCTTCTCTTGGTTTCCAGGAGTGTCTTCTTCTGAGTTGCTTCAAATGTTGGGATCAATTTGAATTATTATGCTTATTATGTTCTCAAGTTACTTTTCATTAGGAATTTACTCACCGCTTTGACTTTGTATCTGGATGCTGTCACACAATGTTTCCTATGTTGATTGGGGATGGTTCCTTCTAACATTAATTCTGGTACAGCTCTTTGCAGTTTCGTATGTTCTCTGAGCACATGGTTGTTTGGATATTGAAAAGGAATATTCTCAGATTAATTATTATGGACATACAAAAATGGATATATATTTATATGAAGCAATACATTGAGAATTCGCATTCTCTATGTGATGAGAATATCTACTCTTTTTCAGTTTATTCAATTGAAAACAACTACTTTCCTGGCTATATGCCACGACGAACATTGAATTATATCTATTGAACACACACGATAAGAGTTTGAAAAGAAAATATAAAAACTTCTGAAATTGAGAATTTGCATACTCCTTCAGACAGAAATATGTATATGCACACATCATTCTGAATATTCAACAGAAAACAACTACTTTCCTCTCATATACTGAGTCGTATCAACTATTTAATAAATGTTTGGGGATCTTGTTCAAAAAATAATTTCAATAAAATATCAACATTATATAGAAAATCGTTAAAAGTATTGTATCGTCTCCCATTTGATACACCAACCAATCAATTGTATGAAATAACAAATACGTATTCTTTAGATGAAATATATAGAATTGAAACTCTCAAAATATCATATAATATCATAAATAAAAAATTGAAGTCGAATATCATTTTGATACGGAATTCTGAAATTCATAATCATGAAACTAGACAATATAACTTGTTCCATCTTGACGCCGCTAGCTCCCTAATCGGACAAAAAAGATTCACTCATTCAGCCTTAACTGAATTCAATAAACTACCTGATAATATAAAAAATTGCAGAAATATAGGTATATTCAAAAATGAAGAAAAAAAACTGATTATTTCTCAGCGGACTTGATGAAATTAATCATGCCATTTTTTTTACAAATAGTATTCTTTGTTTGCCAATTTACAGTTGTTGATATATTTTGAATGATGCTATGTTTACCTATAGGTATATAATTATGTACTTCCTTATACCAGAGCCTATTCTGTCTGGAAGTTATTTGTTCAATAAATAAATAAATAAAATAAATAAAACATTGAATTATATCTGATGAACATTCAAAAGGAGAACATGAAAAATAAAAAATAAATTCCTCCAAATCGGATGAATAATATGATGTATAATGATATAGAAATATAACTTACCAATATATTCAGCAAATGAAAATTGGAATGTATAGGAGAAGTATACTGGCATAAACTCTGATCTTGATGAGCTTGAAAACTTCCAAAAATAATCATTCATATCAGTGATATGGGAAATATTATCTCTCACACACAGGTTATATGACTTTATTGCAATGAACTAACGAACTGAAACCAAGATTGACAGAATGTTCTGCAGGACATAAGCCAGGGATATAGTTGTTTTTCTCCCGGCATCCACCATTGTTTTTCATTTTATAAACATTATTGGAAATGACTGAGTTTTGAATCTATTTTTTTGAAGTGATAAATTAAAAGACGAATTCTTGCCGTTCACAGCCAGCAGCAAGGGGACAACGTTAGGGACGACGCGAAGTCGCCCAACAACGCGATGACCATTCAGCTCAACGATATCAGGATGAAGCTGGAGGAGAAACGGAGGCACATCGAGAACGAGAAGAGGCGGATGGAGGTCGCTCTGAACCAGCAGCGTCAGAAAGTGGGCAAGGCAGCGTTCCTTCAGGCGGTCGTCAAGGTATGTGGTGTGTGTGTCCATTTGATGGCCGGTGCATCGGGGCTTCTATTGTCGTTTCATTTTCCTATGGAGTGTTTTGTTTCGTTTGCGGTGGTGTTTATTCGTGTCGATTCTGTTAGAAAATAGCAATGTGGTTGTAGAGAAGTTATTGCTATCACAACAAGATTAGAGAAAATTGAATTTTGATACTTGATTCTGGGCAATATGGTCTGTCAATTTCGATGGCATCAATGTTGTGCTTGCTATCTCATAAAAAGGTTGAAAGCGACAGTGGAGCCTTTATTTTTGCACCTCAATTTCTTCCAATTGTTTGAAAATTTTGAAAATTGGTGATTATATACATTTAAGAAGTTCCCTTGTATAACTAACTACGTGAAAACCTTTCCTTGAATTTTCAATTTGTAGAAGAATCATGAGACTGCAATTTCAGCATATCAGAGATACCAGCATTCCATTTGAGTTGCCTGATGGAAAGTTTATCAAGCTATTTCCCTTGAATAAACCAGCAACGTGAGTTTTTCCGGATGAGAACCGGGTTCATTTTCAAAAATTTTATGACTAATTCCACCCAACTTTTGGTTATTTTCTTATTTGGGGACTTGATTGAATACTTGCACCACTTGAACCACAATCAAATTCTGTCAATCTGAATAATTTTCCAACAATATTGCTATCACTTCAACTTATAACTAATCTTGCAAGAGAATACAGAATTACATAACAATATTGTTAGGTTTTATGATCAAAGCAATATGGTTAATTCAGAAATGTTATAACAAGGAGAACAGAATCGACGCGATTGTGTAAATATGAATGTTTATGTTTATTATGATTACAGCTAACTGAATTGGTAAGGATGTTATTTTAACGAGAACGATTTTTTTGGTTATGCCTGTCTGGTAGGGTTGGGAGATTTGAATTATTCAGGAAAATTATGGAAATATAAAAATAAATTTTTGAAAATGCAAGTATCAGTAACAAGAATTAGTAGAACAATAATTTCACACTCTTTCAAATATAAATTCACACAAGAAGTAGATTTCGAGAAACGAAAATGGCGGTATCTCAAACCTAGATGGGAATTATGATTTTCAAACGAATTTATATAATAATTGCTTTATGTATTGAGTTCTTGTGCTAATGCCCATCTGAGTCTTACTACATTGTATCCTCAATCTGTTCATATCAAACATAGTCAGTTGGCCTCACCACATCTATATTTTAAAATTTTTCTGTTGATGCATTAAATGTTTCCATTTTTTTATCTGAATGTTTTCCTATTTATCAATTCATGTTTGTCAATGTTTTTTATGCATGATGAATATTCCTATTTTACTATTTTTCTCCTTTTTTCAATATATACATTGTTTCAAATGCCTCTCTTCCACATAACTTTTGAATCAAACACTGCAAACAATCGCAGTTTTAATGTCCCATTTTTTTAAATTTTACCTATTCCTTTAGCAATTCAAAGTGATTGATTTTATCAACATTGGCTTCATGTATTAAGATGTCGAAGAAAAGGAAGTTTTGAAATCTGCGATTTAGCAATATAGTTGTTCATAGAGAGTTCTAGAATAGTTGAGTGTTTGGTTAACTTTAAATTCGAAGTATCCCCTTGGTTGTTATGCTAATTAGAAAGATCTAGAAACGGGAAGAATTTCGTCGATTCAGCACATTTTCATCATAGTCTGAATAAATAAATATATAAATAGGATAGTACCAAACTGAGTCACCATGGTTTTTATGATTTCCAGCTGAAATGTAATGAACTGATTGAAAAAAATTGAGGATATTTTTAACGCAAACAATATAGATATATATAGCTTTACCACATTTTTTCTACAATAATGTCTTCATGGCAAAAAGACAGCCTTAACTTACCCAAACGACATGGATATTATTAGCTATACCACATTTTCTCCAGAAAAAATGTCTATAGCAAAAAGACAAAATGCATTTTTTTCGATCAGTTTATATTGACTAACATGAGATAGGCCTTTTCATTTTGATAATTTGAGGCGCATGCGCTCGTTTTATGATCCAGATTTTGATTGGATATTGTGAATGTGGCAATTCATTAGCCAGCTTTGATGCTAAAACCTTTGTATGTCCATTTTGACATTCTGACAATATCATTAACCATCCGCAATGTCATGGCCGTTCGTTATTAAATATCACAACTTTTATATTCGATTGACAGCGGACGTGAACTCCAGCCTCAAGAGTGCCATCTGCTTTGAGCTCTCCAGATCATTTGCCATTCATGAAGATCAGACTGAATCAGCTCTGACTGAAATAAGGCAACAGAGCAGAACAGATGGAAATGTTGAAATGAAGTGAATTAAATTGGAAGGAAAACGTTCCTTGTGCTGCAAGGAAAATAATTTCATCATTTTGATTTTCGAAAATGAGTGGAAGTAACAGAAGACACTAGTAGTTTCTTGCGAGAATGGCGAAACTACAATTTGATTCATGACGTTAGGGAATCAGAACTTTTTCAAATCATCTGCTTGTTCCACGAATGATCGTACATATTAATCTATAGGTGTTTTGTCGCCTGAATTGCCCATTACAAGTATTTTGAGATATAAAAATGGATACTGATCCTGGAGAAGTCTACTGGGGTGCGTTCGAATATGTAGTCTGTGGAGTATAGTATACTCATTTGCGTTGCAAATTTGTCAGATTTTGTATATTCTACTCTGTGACTGTCGTTCGAAAATACTGGAGTTTTTGTCGTCGACTCAACTGTTGTAGCTCCACTAAATAGGAAGGTATATTTTATTCCACTGATTTGACACAGTTATTACAATTTGAACAAGTATAACGAATTTTGTTTAGTTTGTTTCAAATTAGGTTAGGTCCATTTGAAACACAGTTGATGATTGTTTTTATAACCTCAAAGAGCTCAAACTTGGTAAGTACTTCTTAGCATCATATTTTGATGTTGAAAAAAATCTCAGAAAGTGACACTGAGGTTGTGTTGAGTCGGCAAATTTAATAACAATATATTCAATTATAAATTGAATCATATGTTTATAGAGGTTTATTGTATATGGTTTATTAGTATAGCAGTACCCAACACATGGTTTCAACATTGATAAGCGGCACTCAACATTATTTATTTGCAAAGAACTAAACTAGCAACTTGACAAACATACCCCACAGTAAACTGATAAAACTTCCAACTTAACCTTACTCTACTTTGAGAGTCGATAATCGAACGCACCCGTGGAGATTGTAATTTAGTTTCGGAAATATATATTCAGGCTTAAGGCTTCAAATATTTTAGTGGTTATTAGCTATGTACATTTTTATTTGATCCACTGTTATTCATCATTGTTTGAACTTGAAATATCACAAGATGGTGTATTACTTGGCTGTCGACATGTAGCATTGGAAGCATTGAATCATAGAATCCACGGTGGCACATCATCTACAGTAAGCAACATTAGACTACCATATTGTTCAACTTGTCTGATGCTCTTTGTAATAACTTTTCGAAAACAGTCATAATATAAAATACTACACAAAGTATCAGCCAGGGTCCATATTCAACATTCCTCATGTTGCATAAACTTGAAATCATTGCTGCCCCTTGAAATGTCCACATCAGATAGCTTTCAAATAGATCACGGATGAGATAATGGGTAAATGATCGGCATATATGAGTGATAACGTATGTTTCACTCTCGATTCCACTCATGGACTATGAAGTCTGTTGCCCTTCGATAACAGCGACATTCATTATTTTGACAGCACTGACAGTTGATACGATAGATTTTACTAATATTACCGCATTGCCAATGCGAATTAAGTACATCTTGTTGAGGCAGAAATCTGGAATCATTGGGCAAACAAATAAAGTTTTACGAATGAGATATTGCTTCTCCTTGGTATAATGAGTTTTGGTATGTATTATGGCTGTTTGAATAAAGTCATCAACATTGCATCAATGGACGTTAACAATTTGGTGGTTTCGAATTGGTTTTGTTCATTGTACATAATCAGTGAACCTTTTTACTTCTCTCTCACACACACAGCACAAATGGAACTGTTCGTCTGTTCATCACCTCGGCACACTGTCCAGCACCGGTGACGGTAACCGTTTCACCTATACTTAACTAACTTTCAGGGAAAAGGTAATTTACTTAAAACAACCCCAACCGACGTCGAGTCTAACAACTCGGCAGAGGGCTCTGAAACGCAAAGCCCCTCCACTGATTCTGCACCCTCACCAAAACCCCAGAGGCCAGTTAACTTGCAGGTATATTTTTTTGGTTCATTCTGGTCGAAGGTGGATGAATGACCGACTAAAATGGAATGTTTTGTGATCCAACATCAGTCAGTTGTCTCAATATTTAACCCGCGAGGGACCGCGCGGGGTGGAAATTATCCCAGGTAATATCAAATTACGGTTTTTTTTGCTGAATCTGCACGGCACTGAAAAATCACGCCAGCTCAGTGGCTAAATATGACCAATTAAAAAGTCTTTGCTTGTGTTTCGTCATTAGTTCTGCACACATCGTAGTAAACATTCAAATTTGGTAAATTGTTCCTGGGGATCCTTACCCCACGCGGGAGAGAGTTGAAAACTTTTATATCTGAATTCGTGGCTGTACAAATGAAAATTCAACCTCAAAACGTGCAGCCTGCAATGGTAGTCAAATTTTCATATCATCCTGGAGAAAAAAAAAGAGAAACAATTAGAGAAAGGGATGTGCGTATATTATTTATGCGTTCATTGAAATTCATTATTCAATTCGAGTATATCAATCAAATTAAGTTGTCCTCTTTATTGCTGTTTGTTTGTTTCATTATTGTTATAAATAATGCAATTCCACATGAGACAAAGGTTTTTTTCGTCTCAAAGTCCTTAAATTCAATTAAAACCAATGGGGTAGATTACTACTCCACGTGGTCCACGCTTAAGTTTCTATCGGCGCGGTCCCTCGCGGGCTAATGACATTAATGTCGAAGTGTCGTCACTGGACTTCAGGGGAAATCACCTACAGGTTTCTGTGGCCGATACAGTAGTGCCGCCATACGGTCAACTCGAGGAAAAACTTATTTCAATTGTTTTCCTGTCGAACCTACATAACCTTGAAAATCTTAAATGAATTGAGCGGTGCTCTCGGCAGTCTCGCCCGGCGGCGTAGTTTGTTCAGTGAGTTTGAGTTTAGTCACAATATAGTCACGGGTCACGGTCACTCAGTCACTCAAGAATTCATAAAAACATTCCTTCTCAAAATGGTTGCTACAGAGAGGGAGAATCCCAAAAATTGAAAAAAAAAATAGTTCTTGTGCAATATCAGTATGAGCCTAGAGTGCCTGTCATCTACTACTAACAAATGAATAATTTTCTTTTGAGAATGTTGCATCTTAGAAATTGAGTGGTTTTGGCTGACAGTCCCGGAATTCCTATTTGAATCAGTTTCTACCTACCTTTCTCAGATTTTGTTTGGCTCAACTTAATGATGAGTCTCTTGATTTTTTGATATTTGTTTCATTATATTATTCTATATTTCAGAGGGATATTCAATTCCACATTCCAGTGACGTAGCCAACCATATTTTGAAGTGTAGAGTCGTATATTGAAAATATTTGTCGCTACTTGGATGAAAAAGGTTTATCAATTATCAATTTGGTCAACATATTGATGATGTTTTCAAAAACATTCATGAGTATACTATCTGGCTATATTAGAAATATGATGTGTCAATTACTATGCAAATGTATAATTAAATGGCTTCAATTTCATTTGCTTGTTCATTCATCCACCTATGATTATACCCCTAACCCATTTTGTATGGTATTATTTCAGGTTATGTTTTGAGAGTTTTGTTTATATTAGTAGACTAGTTGTTAGATTTTGGGCTTCCTAGTATCTTTCAGGGTGTTATTTTTCAAGTAGCTAGATAAACTTTTTGTACTATATTAAAATCATCTAACAAATCTTCAGTTACTTCTGTTCTTCAATAATTGATATTAAGCGTTTTGAATGAAAAATTGAGGAAGTATCTGAAATTTGCAACAATTTTATTGGTGGCAGCAAACATTGATGAATTATTACCTACCTTATTGCAGGAAATCGATGATGTTAATAATGTTGACCGCAAATGGTTAGATGAGGGACAACCCTATGTGGAGACGAGGACTCCTGATTTAGAAAACATGGACTTGGAACAGTACCAAAGATCCATGGCTCAGTAAGTATGATTTTATGAGATCCAAGATATTGAAAATTGATTTCAATCATTCAATTCATAGATTATATCAAAACATTATACATATTAAATTAGATAACATTGGCATTGGTCATAGCTCTAAAACGGACGTGAAAACTAACTGGAGAGCTGGAGACGTCACTTCATTCCGCGCACGTTTCGAGACTGACTGAGATGTCAGTCTCAAATTCCATTCGTGGTTTTTGAATCATATTTGGGAATTTCATTGATCCCACCCATATCTCTTCAGGAGGAGGACTTTGAAGTACTTAGGTGTGTCTGAGTAGCCAAGATGTCAGAAATCATTCCTAAAGTTTGCTATTTTTTAAATTTGATTCATATCCATGAGCTATCTATTACCCCACCACCCTCGTCGCCACCTCTCTTTTATTTTTCCAATGACAGAAATTGTATGGAACCATACGGACCTTCTCCAGAACAATGTGGAGGCTACTAAGATCTAAATGGATTTCGATCGCTGCTATTGGAGTGGAGCACATCGTCCTTGAAATGCCTAATGACCAGCGAGCTTTGCCCGAGCTGTCCACTACAAACCTTAAGTCCATCAGACTACCGACGTAACCATTGATTTTACTATCATTTGGTTTGATATACCATCATCTGGTAATTCCGGTGAATCTGTTTCGGGTTCCTTCTCCAAGATTTGTCGCATACCGTTCTGAGATTTGGCTTTGTTTATAGGTTTACATTAGTATAGTATGCATGCAGTGATCACGCATTAAGAACGTGATTACTAATGTAATACATCCCTACTCCCGCCTACAGACATAGTGTGCATTTTTTTATCTTTTGGAGCACACGAAAGGAAATTCCTATAATCTTCGGAGAACATGGCGCGTACCTTGGGAGGATAGGGAAAGGAGGTAGGTATTGGAATGTCTTCTGTATTGAAGGAAGGTTGGCGTGGAAGGTAAAGGAAAATAGATTGGGTTGACCGGAATCCTCAACCAGCAACTGGAACATGGGTATAACCCATTTCACGGCTTCTAGGGTGGTTGTGGTGGTATCGCACCGGGCGATAGTGTTAGCCATCTTCCACCTATTGGCGCCCTTTTAGTTGTCTTCTACGACAGGCAGGACCTAGAGTGTCCCGAACATCTCATGTCACGCCCTTTGAAGAGTGTTGCCTTGCTCCTTCTAAACAGCTGAACAAAAAACAATATACACAAATATGATTTATAACAGATGGAATGTCATTTTATTACAGTGACGGCAACATCAAAGGCACATGATGCTCATTTTGTAGTTAAATCAATATTACATCATTGAATGTATTTCCATGAAATAAATATTGAAATTTGAGACTTTAACGAACACTTGAAATGTGAGCAACTCAAATATAAATGGTAACCACAATTCTTGAAATGCTATTCGTTACCGACAAGACATATTCGAAAACATTTTTCAGAACTGTCGTTCTGAAATGATGACAGTTCGGAAATGTCAGTGGTGACAAGCGCGTCCATACTCTTTAAATTGCGTGTAATGAGATGTTCGAGACACTCTAGCAGGACCTACCGTGCTGTTATTCTAGTCCGACTGCATGGCGCTTTGACCAATAGAACGTTAGTCACTTTGTTTACCGCTGGACTCCTGGATTTGGCTATACTATAGTCATGTCTACCATTTTTTTGTTACACTTAATTCAAATTCGTGTTTTCCTCTCAGAATGAACTCTAGTCTACACGATATCCATTCGGATATGCAGCGGTTAGCTTCGCAGCAGAATCAGGTACCACAGCACGTCCAGCAGAGCTTCGTGACGCAGCAATCGAGGCCGATCCAGATGATGCAGTCGCAGCCCCATTACCAGAGCATGCAGACGCAGCCGCAGGCCGTACCGCAGTACGCGGTGCAGCAGTCGTACCAGCCGCAGATGTATCAGCCTCCTCAGCAAGGTAAATCAGTGGTGGGAAATGGGCTCATATCACAAAAAAATTGTATTTCATAATTCGATAGAACCCACCCAAACTAGCTCACCATCGCAAACCGTTTCTTGCTGTGAGCTTCCAACGTTTTATAAAAAATTATTGAAATCCCCGATTTTTCGGACCTCTGGAAACGAGGCGATGATGTGACGTCAAAACCCTAATACTGAAACAAGACTATTCCAGACAGAGATGAATGATACATGATTTCTCACTAAAGCACCAAGATTGGTGAATCGGCAAGTTGATTTTTGGGACATAGATGATAAGAACAAGAAGAAGATCAATTCTAATTTCTAACCTATATTAAGTTTCTGCAACTTTCGAATATTAAATTGAAATATTTCGACAACAGTATGATTGAGAAATGTTCTGTGCCTAATTGCAATTAAAAAAACATCATTTAGCTGGGAATTTCGAGAACAAATCTCGCCCCTCACTGGGTAAACACAATATTATAGTAGTAGTTTTGCTTTGCAGAAATTCATAGGGAAATTGCTTGAAGAATGAATGATCCATCTCCTAGAAGAACATTCAGGGGGAGATGCAAGCAGTATCTAGTCTTGGGAATAACATTGTTTCATACCAATTGATCATATTGTTGCATAGGTAAACATATCGATCAGTGACTTATTTAATGAGGATTCTCCCTCGGAATCTCCATATGATGGGTATTCTGATGTTAAATATTTTCAGGTGAACAATTTTCCAATGCAACTATAATAGGTACAAGCAATGAAAATTGAATGAATATTGTGGAACTTACCTTTCAGATTTTCTGTTCCTCATTTCAGCACTGAGGAACTGTGGAGATTTTCTAGTATGTTAGAGACATAAAAATAATTAACCATTTCCAAATCAATTTTCGGTAGATTATCTGATGAGCCTTTTACAAATCCTGATTCAACGTTCATGTTTATATTCAATATATCAATAATATTATTATGTATTAATATGATATAAAGCATGATTTGGAAGTTAATTTCATTACGTGTCTCCTCTTCTCATTTTAGAGGACATAAATAACTTCGGAATCGGAATTCGAGACTCGATGCAAATGCAGCTCCATGTGAAACGGGTCAACAAAGCAATGTTGCTGCGTTCATGAAATATATTGGATTATTGTGAAATTGTCATGATGCAAATGGTTTTGGGATTGAGACATTTCGTTGTTTAGAGATTGTTTATATTCCAATGATTCAACCTACCATCGACAAGTTGAATATATTTTTCTGCAGTAGTGGTAGTTGATATCAAAAGATATTTCAATATCGATTTCGATCTCGGATATTTTGTTTAGATGATATGGCAACAGTGATAAGTGTCACACATGGGTCACTCTATGGGTCACGCTCATTGGTTCCAGGCGAGATGAGGTTTCTACGTCATAAAGAGGGTCCGTTTTCAGAAGGTACTATAATTTATGTCCAAAAATAAAACATTCCAGTTAATTTTTAGATGGAATTATGTCGCCAATCGTTATTTATGTATAAAAGGATCATTATAAACATGGTTTGAGTTGAAAGTTCTACTAAGGTGTACACGCCCATTAACGTATACGAAAATTTCTCGGATAATGATTGGCGGATCGCACCATGTGAGCGAGATAAGAAACTACTGAAAGCGGATTTATGCACACCGCTATTTCATTAATCTGTTATTTCACAATCATTAACGATTTCACTAATAAGTCAAAACTTGGTATTTCCGTTCAATCATTTTTTTTATCGCTTGGAGCGCACGAAAGGGAGTCCCTTTAATGTTCAAAGAACATCGTGCGTTCCTAAATTGAATTTCATCTTCCATTAACTATTCGCTAGAAGATGACCAATTTTTTTCCCACGTCTTGTATGATGAATATCAATTTATCATACATCCAAAAACAAATGCCCAGATGAACGAGGTTATGTCAACAAATTATAATTCTCGGATGTCAGTGCGTTATAGTTTTAGTTATAGGGAGATGAAAATTGTGTATATCATGAAGAATGGCTGAAAGAATAACTGGAATTCAGGTTACTGATGAGGATTTGATATCCGAAATAAGTTTTATTCTAGTGAAGTCAAATCACCGGTTTGTGAGAGATATAATTCCAATATCACTGGTACATATGATTTTTTTGAAGTTCATACAAGTATACTTCTCTTATACATTTCAATTTTCATTTCAATACTGAACATATTAGTAAGTTATATTTTTATAGCATAATACATTATATTATTCTATTCGATTTGAGAGATAATGTCAATTCTCAATTTCAGAGGATTTTGATTTTTCATGCCATCTTTTTGGATATTCAACAAATATAATTCAATGTTCGACGTGGCAAATAGCCAGGAAAGTAGTTGTTTTCTGTTGAATATTCAGAATAATATTATGTGCATATCTTTATATAAAGGAGAATGCAAATTCTCTACTTCAGAAGATTTTGTTTTCAAATTCTTATCATGTGTGTTCAATAGATGTAATTCAATGTTCTTCGTTGCATATAGCCAGGAAAGTAGTTGTTTTCTATTGAATAAACCGAGAAAAAACTTATATTTTCATCACATAGAGAATGCAAATTCTCAATGTATTTCTTTATTATATATATATCCATTTTTTTGTGTTCATAAATATATCTGAGAATATTTCTTTTCAATGACCAATTTTTATCTCTTAACGACAAATACAAATAAAACTGTGAGTTACGCAGGCGTATGTTCAAATTATACACTGAAAACAATATGAATGAATGTTTCTTATTGTAATTATTATGTGATCACTAAATGTTATAACACAAATATTTTCATCAGAATAAGTATGCTGAGGACTTTGTTTTGACCAAGAAGAAGAATTTAAAAATGAAAAAAGGTGGTGCATGAAGGTATCATAGCCATTGGATAAAAATAAACTTCAATGACAGTTAATGAAAGCAACAGATTAATGAGAAAGCGGAGGGCAAATTGAGACGTTCACGAAGGGCAGCACAGGCAACACAGCACAGGCACAGTAAATGGCCGAAAATCCAGTAGTCTCACTCACTGTCGGCACCTTTGATGTTCGTTACCCCTGTTACCCCATGTTGTTTACTGCGCAACGAGCCACACAAACAGTCATGACACATTTCAATTTTTATCGTCTTATAAATCTTTGTATACGTGGAAATGATGAAACTCAAGTTCTACGCCCATGTAATGATATGTATATGGAACTATGCCAAAAATTTGAGTGAAATCTCATGAGCCGTTTCAAAGTTATGAAGCAAAACCGATTTGAAAAATTGTAACTTCAGAGCCGTCTAGCGCCCAAACTAAGCAACCTTGTACTGAGGTAACTTTTCTTGTATCAAATAGACCATTTTACGCAGAATGTGGTCCAAGTTGAAACTATTTCGGGATATCGAATTAAATGTTCTCTCATTGACATTACTGACATCTTATAGTAGTCGTCAAATTGAACATTGATATCTGGTTTTGATTTAGTGCTTCCATAGAGATAAAAACTCAGGTTCAGGTTCATAGAGATAACAACTCAGGTTCAGGTTGCTACTGGACGAAATGTAAGTGCGAATATTCATAATTTTTTCATGATGATCCAAAAGCGCATTTCCTCCTCGAATAAAAGGCTTCTTGGACAAAAATGTTACAAAATGGTATTGATAGTTTCACAGATAATATCCATATAAGGGAATATTTGAGACGACAAAATGGATCCTTTTTTTATGTTCTGGTTCCCACAAAAAAGGAAATCCTGTAATGTTCAGAGAACATCGTGAGAACCAAGGGAAATAAGGTAGGAATTGGTGTTCTTCTTAAATTTCTGGAGGTTATATGCCTCGGGGAACACCTCCCTTGGCAATGTGTTCCAGAGCCTCGCTGTTCATTGTATGAACGATTCTTTGGAAAGATGTGTTCTGCAGGTCTCCACTATGACGACAAAGTGGTGCGAAGCCTCAACTCGACGGGTTAATCTCGCGGGGACTGCCAAGGGAGGAACAATTGTTGATATTTCAGAAGAGCATCGTCCATGAAAATATCTATGACATAGAGCCAGATCGCCAACTTTTCTACGGTGTTCCAGAGAAGTGAGTGAGTTTGTGAGCGAGGCATCACCCACAAGACGAATTGCCCGTTTTTGGGCAGAATCCAACAGTTTCAGGGTATGTTTGGGTGCTGCACTCCAAATATGGGAATAGTATTCCAGGACAGGTCGGTCTGTGCCTTATAGATCATAAGCAGCTGACTGATCTAAATTTTGGAGAATAATTAGCATTTCCAAATTTGGCATGAAAAGTAACATACATACCCAAAATTTCGTTATCGCAACACAGAGAGTTTCGGAAATATTCACAAAAAACATCATCTAGGGTCCTTTTTCAGATGGCTATAACTCCCCAGGGGGCCATTTTTGGGCTCATGTTTATGTAAACTTGTTCCTAGAATTCGTGGTATAATACAACAAGATTAAAATCAATACCTCACCTTGTCAAGTGTATTTCCAAAAATACGTTAGAACTAATTCACAGTTGATGAAATATCAATATAATCTGCCTTATTTCCAACAGAAATTCTCGCAAATAAACTAAAAATCGCTCCGCCCACTCGTGACTCATGTAGTCAATTATTTAAATTCAGCTGTAGAATACAAAACGATTCTCTTCCAGTTTATCCCTCGCCGTTGCAATCGTCAGCCAGCGCACCGCACATCCCGCAAACGCTCTACTCCCACCACCACCACCAGCCTCCTCCTCCGCAACAGCAGCAGCAGCAGTTCTTCCTGCACGAGCCGGTGCCGTCCCCCGTCGTCTCGCCCGCCCCCTCCCCCGCTCAGGTGGCGCCGCCGCCGCGACGCACGTGGTCGCAGCCGGTGGCGCCGCTCGAGCAGTGGCAGCAGCAGCAGCAGCCGGAGATGCGGTCGTGGGGCAAGCCGCAGAGCGCGGGCGGGTTCGTGCTGCATGAGGACAGGTGAGATATTAGCAATCAAGGCTTTTTAACTCTACAGTGTCATTCATAAAGTCGGCATCATATGGGAAAAACTTTTATTAATGACTTATTTTGAAAATCGAGTTGGACGTTGAGTTTTGCTCCAAAAAAGATGAAAAATGGCCTACTCAATCGGGGTCACGTAACTTTCGCTACATGTCAAAAGTGACATTTTTTCAAATTAATCGCTGAAAGTAGGCTTATTTGTTCGAATATCGAAAAAGTTTACTTAAAAAAGTTTTTTTTTTTAAATTTTACATATTTTGGATTTCGACATTTTTTAAAAATTTTCGAAATTTCTGTAATATTGAAAAAGTTGTAAATCCGATAAAACTACGTCATACCAGTAGTTTCATCATGCTACTAACTTTCAATCACTAATTATCACTAATTATCGACAAAAATATGATTTTCTTCAGAAAATGATAATCTCCGCTTCAAAATTCTGTTATGTTTGATGCAAACATAACATCATAATTCTGTTATGTTTGAGTCAAGCATTTAGGAACGAAATTCATTTAAATTTATTATTTCAGTACTGAAAAGATCAGTTTAAATGAATTTCGTTTCTAAATGCTTGACAATATATCAACTTTGCATCAAACATAACAGAATTTGGAAGCGGGTATTATCATTTTCTGATTAAGAAAATCATATTTCTGTCCATAATCAGTGATAATAAGTAATTGGAAGTAGGAAGCATGAAAAAGCTACTGGTATGAAGTAGTTTCGTGGAATTAACAATTCTCCAAATATTACAGAAATTTCGAAAAATAAAAAAAAACAAAATCTAAAAGTTGCAATAGAAAGATCAAATTCGGGAAGCATGTGTAAAATTGAAATAGAAACAACTTTTTCAAGTAAACTTTTTCGATATTCGAACAAATCAGCCTACTTTCAGCGATTAATTTGAAAAAATGTCACTTTTGACATTTAGCGATTGAGTAGGCCATTTTTCATCTTTTTCGAAGCAAAACTTAACGCCCAACTCGAATTCCAAAATAAGTCATTAATAAAAGTTTTTCCCATATGATGCCGACTTTATGAATGACACTGTATGAGGTTGCCTCATATTTTTCTGGCCTGACGTCACTGTTTCTCCAGTCGTCTTTTGTCGGGCGGCAAAATGAAAATGACGGAGGTGATAAACAAAACAAACAAATTTAGCATTGTGCAATCCAGTGAAATTTGATAAATTTTGAAGTTTTCCCATATATTTTTGTATTCACGAGATAGTTTACTGTTTTCCCAAAACATGCAGCAAGTACAAAAGACTGAAAAAAGAAATCTAGGAAGATATACAGGCTGATTCACAGTGGATGGCACATTAGACGTTTCTGGTGAACCAGACAACGGATCATTTTGAAAATTCAATGGAGGGCATATTCGGACATTCTCTAGCCAACTAAAATATTTTCGACAATGCGGTGTTGCCGCTTCTATTAGAAAGCAGTAGCAACTTTGATTTTTCAAATGGAACACTCTGTATTTTATTGCATTTTTAGATTCTCCCTGAAGAGCAGATTTCATCGATGTATCATACTTGGGGTCTAGCGGAAATGATTACAGAGATATAGGGTGTGAAAAATCGACATTTTTCAACTTAAGGGTGGTGCAGATTTCAGAATCTTGATCACCCGGTATATGTCCCAATTAAATATCAGTAGATAGTTAATCAAAAGTTGAGACAGGGACATGTGAGCCGTTTTGACCAATGATGAATAGTGGGATACATCGATGAAATCAGCTCTTCAGGGAGAATCTAGAAATGCAATAAAATACAGAGTGTTCCATGTGAAAAATCAAAGTTGCTACTGCTTTCTAATAGAAGTGGCAACACCGCATTGTCGAAAATATTTTAGTTGGCTAGAGAATGTCCGAATATGCCCTCCATTGGATTTTCAAAATGATCCGTTGTCTGGTTCACCAGAAACGTCTAATGTGCCATCCACCGTGAATCAGCCTGTATGTTATGTTCCTCAGTGCTCCTGTTGTACAGACACATTACAAAACTCAGTCAAATTTTTATTGCAATATCACTCCATCAGGACTGATTACTGTTGGCATTTAAGGATATGGAGGTTGAGGAACTGATAAAAAATTTTTGAATAAAGAGAATGTTATTGGGAAGTCTGAACCTAATGATGGAATCAAGGTGGATAAGGGCATGCTGACAAGGGATGTGAAGAAAATTCTTGAAATTGATAAGGCCATCATTTCTGAGAAAGAAGAAACAATTGAATAAAGATGATTTCCTACTGGATAAATTGAATGATCCTAACTCAATGGTTTTATTTCAGTATCAATTTGAAAAATATTATTGTTTGAAAATGAAATAATGAGAAAAGAAGTCATTATCACAATTATTTCATTTTATTAATGCAATAAAAGTGCAACATAATGGAAATATCTTCAAGATATCTTATAAGATTAACACAAAATGTTTCATGAAATTAACTGAAATTTCTATGTAAGTTTTGGAGAAAGAAGAATTATATAAGAAAATTAGTTTCTTTCAAGTTCATTAGGGACATTTTAGGGCCATTATTCCCAACTGAATTTATCCATAATAAGTGTGTCTCTCTTCCAACTTTACATTTTTTATACCATCTTCTATCAAGAAATGGCATTGTTCGACAAAATGTTCTGAACCATTTTCTCTACCTGAAAATTTGAGAAAATAATTCAAGGTGAATGTTATTCACATTATTTAACAAACCTCTATGTAAGGACCACAGTAAGGACACTATTTCAATTATTTCCATGGTCTTCCTTCCTGAAAAATGATTTCATATGGAGAAAATCCTAACCATGGAAAATATTGGGACACAAATTTGTTTGCATGATTTGAAATTCAATATTATTTTCAATGAACATTTTAAAAGAGCTTCGGATTCATATTCAACTCCATGCTGAACAAATTTATTCGTAAAATCCTTTGGAAAGAAGAAGTTGATTGCCTTTTTTCCCAAGACTCCTTGCTACATGTGAAAATGCAGTAGCAAGTATAGCCTAAAATTTTTCAAAATCAATGTAAGTATACAGCTTTCATGATGGTATGTAGAAATTTAATAAACTCACCATTGTTCCTGAGTACCATGCAATAGTTGTTTACATTGAGTTCATTGGCTTCCAAACAAAGAACGAAAGAGACTGATATACCCTGTAAAATTAACTTGAATTATATAAAAGGAGAAATATTTTCCCATTGTTTTCCATCCTTACTACTTGACCCTGCATGTAGGTAGGTACTGTTCGTTAGGGGGTAACTTTCCTTCTTTTAATAAGTGGATATTGAAATGGTTTTGCTGTATAATAGATCTTTGATTGATCTACTCTTTTTATTTCCTTTTCACCACTTCTGTGTGTGTTATATATGCAGCTTCACATATTCCAAGTCTTCATTCCTGAAATTTCATTTATTTTTTACCTGTGTGTGATAGATCAAAAGTGCACCTTCCTACATGTCAATATAATTTCCTATAACATGTGTTTACAAAACCATGACATGTCTGCTTCACAGGAACATTCACATTTCCACAGCTCATCATCTTCCTTTGGAATTATTTGAATCTCATGTGGAGGCTGTCCAAGAGCAGATGATTGTAAACACAGGCTTTTTATAACATTTGTTTGTTCTATATCCACTCTTGACTACACACAGCTTTGAATAATACATCATATTATTATACAGCCTCTCACCCTCTTTCAAAGCTCTTAGCTAAGCTAGTGAATTGTTTTAATTTATCAAGATGGTAAATGAGCAAAAAATGGTGTGAAAATACTTTAAGGACGTAACTATAAAATATTGAGTCAGTATTTTATTTACATAATTTCCGCTCAAGAACACATCACAATTGCAAGATGCAACTTCAAAATTACCATAAATCTCAACTTTTCCAACTTTTCAAAGTTTTTTTGAACTTTTCTTGAAAATTTGATGGAACTTTTCAGCGATTCCAACTTTTTCGGAAAACTTGCCACCCTACTCACTACTGAGATCAATTGAGTTAGAAGGAGGTGAGACGGATCTGAGTTGTCGATTGATCAAAAAGAACGTTTTTATCTGTCAGGAAGGGCAAGTTAAGAAAACATAACCCAACATAATTCAACCAGAATGTAAAATGGCTGAGGAAATTCATGAGGAGCATAGAAATATTATTGTAGTGAGTATTCAAAAGAATTAACCTGTGGACTGAAACTTCAAAGCTGAAAGTATGTCAAAATGAAAATATGACCTCACAATTTCCAGCACAAAACCACAGAATTACTAGAATCAATCCATTCTCACCTATTTCTCACTACAACACCAGATGAATAGCAAGCTCAGTTGGGGTGATGGGGAAGAAATAGTCTCGATAAGTTCTTGAGACGACTCACATCAGACTAAGATAAATGAAACATGTAATACAACTGAGCTATTGAGCTGCACTGAGAATCTTGGTTAATCTCAGTCAAAGTTGGTAAAAAGAATATTACTATTATGTTGAAGGGGAAAAAAGTGGTGAGAGGAAGAAGAAGTGGGAAGAACAGCTAATATGAAGTGCTCAAAGATTCAAGTGGACCACTGGAATGGGGAAGTTTCCTTCAGATCGATTTTCATAAAATATGTTCGGAACTCTCCAGTTCCATGTCCACGCTGTACAGAATGGCGACCGATAAAGTCATTTTCATTCTCAAATTAAAGCAATTTCTAATTTTCGGGGCGGCAAACTGTGACGTACATTCTAAATCTAGTCTGAAATTAGCTGATGGTGAAGAATATAGCTAGCGAATAGCCAACAAATGAAAAAAATAGAAGAAGAAGTAAAACTGGCAAACAAAAACATACATAACCACAAATGTACTCGGAGCAGACATGCAGAGGGTAGTCGGCTTCATTCTGACAGGTTATGGTTTTGTTATTTATGCATTGAAATATCTCGAATAGAGCTCGATCCTAAACGAAAATATCATTGAATCAATGAATCGGCTTCATTCAATGATACTATCCTTTCTAATTTACTGCCATCGGTCAGAACAGAATGAAGCCGACACCCATGGCTCCTTCCTCTTGTTGTGCCTGTCATATTTTGAGTGGTGTGGACGGACTCGAAGTATTAGGCTCTGTTGCAAGATATAATCTGCAACTTTCCAAGAAAATAGATCCGTTTTGTTAAGGAACGAATTCATTAGCAAAAAAATGACTGACAAGTTACGAATAGTATATTGTAATGTAATATAACAATAGTGAAATAGTATATTACACACCGAGGTGGGAAGTGATTCATTCCTGTCGTGAGATTAGTTAGTTAACCGAGACGCAAAGCGTCGAGGTTTGCTATAATCTCGAGATAGGAATGAAACTCCCTACCGAGGTTTGTATACTATTTTATTTACAACCATCATATTTCGATCACAATTAATGAATCTATGTTTCGTTCTGAACATACCTGAATTATTACATGAGTGAGGGCGGGAAGTGAGGGCGAGAAGTAGAGGTGTGTAATGTGACACTTCCCAACCTTCAATGACGTTAGTAATGACAACATTACATATATGGTTGTAAATAAAATTATTAATAATATCGAGAATATCAAAATTTATCTTTATCAGTAATCAATTTCATTTCAGCCAATGAGAGATTCATGGAAATTATTCATAACTCTTGAAAAAGTAGGATTGAAGAACCTATTATATCCCATTGATGTCATGATATAATATTTATGCATTCGAAGAACAATTTCCGGAAATCTAGACATATTGATGATGTCGGTACTGGCACAGGGAATCGTATTATCATGGTTATCATGTTATAAATTGAGTATAAATTATAGTAAATCAGCATTTATGATAATTTCAAAAAAATCAAGATATAATGAGTACAAATTTCCAATTGCATGTAATAATGAAGTCATCAAATATTCAAATTATATAAAGTTTCTTGGTCTGTACATAAATGAACATTTGTCATGGTCAAAACATATTGAAATACTTAGGAAAAAAATATCTCCAATAATAGGTATACTTTTTAGGGTACGGAACCAAGTTCCTATAAAATGTCTCAAATCTATATACTTCTCTTTGATCTATTCTAAACTTGAATATTTGATTTCTGTATGGGGTTCAACAAAACTATCAATTATAAAGCCTCTCAAAACTCTTCAAAATAAAATTATCAAATGTATATACAGACTAAATTATTCGGAACCTACTATGAACCTTTACAGAAGAAGAGAATTATTAGATATAGATTCACTATATAAATTCAAATTAATGTCGTTCATTCATTCAGTTAAACATTGTCAAAAGCATTCAAATTTGGTTTTCCAAGTCAATAGTAATCACCACAACCATACAACCAGACAAGCAGATCATTTTTCTGTCAAGAAAATTAAATCAGATATTGGTAAAAAATCCATCTATCACAATGGAATGATACAATACAATTCACTACCAAATAACTTGAAGCTGATTAATAGGATTGAAAAGAGAATTCAAGAAACATCTACTCCTGTAATATTGACATCTTATCTCATTTTTATAGTTTTCTTGTACAACTACTATAGTTTTCAATTGTGTACCTAACAGCTGAGTCAATTGAGGATCATTTTCATTTGAACTTGAAAAAAAAAAGATTCTTTTTGGGTCTGAGTCTTATTTTACTGTCTTCTTTATTTTATTTTGTCAAATATATTTATGTATTCACTATGTTCCCTACTATAAACAAATGTTGTTTCTTGGGAATGATAAAGTTGATTGATTGATTAATTGATTGATTTCAACTCTGTGTGAATGTGGATTTGCAGAAATAAGCCATAGGAATGGTGGAGGAGCCAAGTTCCTCTTTTATTTATTTTATTCGGAAGTGAAACTTGATCTTACGAAAAAAAGAAAAAATACGTATATATTAATTACCTCAAAATAGGAAACTTCCCCATTTATCGAAATGTATGAACGACTGCTTTCAGGTACGATCCCAGATATCAAGAACAGCCTAGGTACCAAGAAAGCACCCGTTATTCGGAGAGTCCGCACTATCCGGAGAGCCCCCGATATTCGGAAAGCCCTCGATATACAGAGAGCCCACGATATTCGGAAAACAGATACCATAACGGCGACGAACACAAGCTCCATCATTCGAACAGTTTTACCCTGAGTCAACAACACCATCAGAATCCCCCGTATAGCACTTCTCACAGCACGCCGTCGGCATCACCACAACACCGAAATATTCACAGGTAAAACTATATACATATAAAAATAGGAGACGAAATTATCTACGTTTTGTCCCGATCCAACATCGTTTTCAGCAGAAAACGACGATGACAACTTTCTGCGGATTGCCCTAGATCTACCGCCATTGTTTGAAAACGAGGGAAGCATTTATCATACATTGATTATATAATATACATTTTTTATGTATATTCATTCTGTATGTTTGTTCCCTAATTGAAATATGTGAATGGGCTTATATCACAAAAAAAATTTATTTCATAATTCGATAGAACTCACCCAAACTAGCTCACCACCGCAAACCGTTTCTTGCTGTGAGCTCCCTACGTTTTATAAAAAATTATTGAAATCCCTGATTTTTCGGACCACTGAAAACGAGGCGATGATGTGACGTCAAAACCCTAATACTGAAACAAGACTATTCCAGACAGAGATGAATGATCTGACAAATCAATTCTAACCTAGATTGACTTTTTGCAGCTCCATGTGAAACGGGTCAACAAAGCAATGTTGCTATGTTTATGAAATATATTGGATTATTGTGAAATTGTAATGGTGCAAATGGTTTTGAGATTGAGACATTTCGTTGTCTAGAGATTGTTTATACTCCAATGATTCAATCTACAATCGACAACTCGAATATATTTTTCTGCAGTAGTGGTAGTGGATATCAAAAGATATTTCAATATCGATTTCGATTTCTCGGATATTTTGTTTGGATGATATGGCAACAGTAATAAGTGTCAGGAGAGTGTCAGTTTCAACCATATATCTACTATTTCTATATATGGCGCATCGCCTATACGATATCTCAACAAAAATGGGACCAAAATGAGAGGTACTCTTTGAATCTATGAGAACGAAAAGTGAAGGATGGAAACAGCCATATTGGTTTGACAAATTTCCTATTATTTTTTCCCTACGTCGGTATCAACGCCTATTGGTCGATTTCATTACCTATAGAGACAGAAATGGGTCCCGCTTTGAGGAGAGCTATGATTCATATATAAGTAGTAGATATATATGGTTTATATATATATATATGGCGAGATGGGGTTTCTACGTCATAAGAGGGTCTCCGTTTTCAGAAGGTACTATCATTTATGTCCAAAAATAAAACATTCCAGTTAATTTTTCGATCGAATTATGCATTGACGGCATAATTCGATCGATTATTTATGTATAAAAGGATCATTATAAACATGGTTTGAGTTAAAAGTTCTACTAAGGTGTACACGCCCATTCTGCTTTTAAAATAATTCAAATTCTCCTAATTTCATACTTACATATAATTATATGGAAATAAATATGACAACAAACTCATTCACGTATGTTGAAAGACGACGGTACAGTGTTGTTTTGCTGTGTTTGTTACCATTTTAGGACTTTGTGTTTCAATTGATTCCCAGTGTTCTGTTATAAAAGTATATAAAGGCAATTATTAATAGTCTATTATGTTTCGCCAGTGCGTGGGATTGTGAAAAAGTTGATCATTCAAACCTCAAATTGGTATTTCGACGGTAAGTTAGGTTATGTTTTTCAACTTGAGCAGTGGTGTAGTTATCGCCGGTTATTTAACTAAATTATCGCAAAAAACGTTGTTTCTTTTGCTGAACTTTTACTAGATGATGGATATAAATTAGGAAAGTAGGTGCCTAAGGTACTACGAATATATGGTATTGAAATTGAAAAATTTTACCTAAACATAGTAGTAAAATTGTTTTGCCTGCTCAACCTACGCTACTGGTTAAGAAAACTGTTAACATTGACGCACAGTTCACAGCATTGCCATTTTTCAAAGCAACTTATTTCTAACTCATTTGAAGCTCTGGAAGTATATATGATAAACAAATAGTGTTTTATAAATGAAATGTTAGATGTATATGGGTACTTTACAGTAGTAATACCATAAGTGATTGAGGTTTCGTGATAAGGGTGTTGACTCATTTCTTGACGAAACTGAATATCTTCGTGAAAACATCACGAGTTTGCAGGAATGAAAGACATACTTATGAGATGAATTCAATCATGAGTGGAATTTTTTTAGACTATTTTATAAAGATGAAGTAAAAAGTCTGAAATTCGGCAGTATTAAGTTTAATAAACAGGAAACATCGTCATCGAACGAAATACATATTGGATTGAACCAGTAATAACGTACAAAATATTTTTCCATTATGGTACAGTTATGCTTTGAGCTTGATTATTTGAACGTCTGCTTGTACTTTCGATATTTCTTATATCTTAATGGCTGCATATTATATCGCATATTTGCAATAAGTTTTTCCTGATGCTGTTTACTGAGTTGGATGTAATATACTGATTTTTAAATGCGTACACAGCATTATTATTAATATTTGATGTTAAACTGTCACATACACCTATCTGAAAACACCGAACTTGACAGGGCAATCAGAATCATGAGTCATATTTGGTGTAATCGGTAATTCGGATTCTGATTGGTTCATTTGATAACTGCGTGAAATAGTCATACTATGCACCTTTTTAGAAAGAATATATAGGCTATGATTCATCTGTCATCATCATTTCTCGTGCTGAAATTCAATATGGTGTCCATAAGAGGAACATATCCACATATCTTCAAATCCTGTTGGCTAGGAAAAACTAGTGTCAAAGAGTGCCAAGATTGAAAATTCGAAAATCAAAGCTTATAGTCTTCGCGGGATTTTTCTGATTTTTTCTTGGGCAATGCTAGAACTGAACTTGGACTGAACAATCCAATTAATAGAAGTATGGAATCGTACAACGCATTACCAATGACAATAAAAAATATAGGCACCTTTAACTTATTTCACAAAGGAAGAAACGGCACTTGGAAATGTAATATAATGTAATTTAGATTTAGACCTCATTGGTATCCTCATATTTGTTCACCATTGTTACCTATTACTAATAGTCTTTGTATCCTTATCATCTTTATTTCGATATTCTACATTATTGTAATACTTTATTTGGAGCATCTACATTAATATTATTGTTAATTATTAGATGTAAATATGATAATAATCACTTAAATGTAAACTGTTGGTTTATATTTCCATGCATGTCATGTAATGAAAATATTATTATTGCGATACCAGCAAGCTTCAAACTGCTGTTTAGGAATTATATTGGGAAGCATATTCTTATTTAAATTGGGCTATACATATGTTAAATTGTATTGTCTCACACTAAAGGGTGCTTAAAAAAATGTAACGACAAAAAACTTCTTTGTCCCACTTCAATTTATGTTTTCATATTTTCATTGCAGACAAATTTCTCAGCTTCTAGAGGAAGGAAAACGGGCTCCCGTTAGTTTGCAGCAAATCGATTCGCGAGATAGAGATCAGCCGCAAAGGAAGTCCAGCGTCATTCATGCCCCTATACCCGCTCCTTCGGCCGACGATATGGAACCTCAGAATATTTCATTCATTGGAAACGCCACCGAGAAGCTAAGCGAAAGTAAGAATTCCATGTATATTTCATCATGAGCTTTAAGCGAAAGTAAGAATTCCATGTATATTTCATCATGAGCTTCATTGATAAATATTCTGGGACGTTTGCTCTTGACCTTTTTGGTTGATAACATTTAGATTTTCGTTTCGATAAAACATGCAATTTTGAGTATTACCCTATGTTGATATCTTTGTTAACGTTGAGTGTGCTTTTCAAAATAGAATATATCTTCCACAACGATGATAATTTATATTTCTAAGAAAGTTGTGTAAAATAAGCGATTAGGATATTTTCCGAGAATGAATGTGCCTGTTCCAAGTTTCGCCAATCCATGAATATTGAATTCTTGATTTTTCCGCCTATAAGTTCGAAGCTGCAGTTTTTGCCAGGAAACCATCGAAATACCCATATAAAATTTCAACCCAATCGGTTCAGCCGTTCATAAGTTATGTGGAAAAGATAAGTACGGAAGGATAATTCTTACTTCCCGCTATCCTATTACCCGGTTTCTCTTAGAAATGATGCATTTTCCCGCGTAGCCTATGTTCATCAGGGATAACGTGGTCTTCTAATGGAGGAATAATGTTTCACATTGGTCCAGTAATATCTGAGCCTATTCAATACAAACAAACACATCTTTCATCTTCAAAATATTAATATAGATAAAACCCTCATGGTTCGAAATTACTAATGAATTTGTGAACCACTGGCATATCTCATGAACGAGTCATTTTCAAGAGGTATTTTTCCGGACCTAAAACAATCAAAATGTATACCAATATCAACAAATAAAGGTTCCGAACATGATGCTGCAAACTATCGCGCTATTTGTGTTCAGAGTCAGATTTCCAAAGCTTTTGAAGCTGCCTACTCTGTCCGACTGATCTCCTACCTTGAACATTACAATATCATCTCTAATAACCAAAATGGATTCAGGAAAGCTAAATCAACTTCAACGGCTATTGAGCAAGCTCTGGATTTTATCTATGAACAGCTTAACAACAAGAAGAATGTACTAGGTATATTTTATGATTTAACTCGTGCATTTGATATGTTTAACCATGACTTACTCTTTCGTAAATTATACAGCATAGGAATTCGTGGTATACCACATGATTGGATAGTTTCATATTTGACAAATCCTACACAAGTGACAGTAATAAATAATAGCAAATCTGACTGATATTGGGACCAACTCTTTTTATATTTTCAAATTACATCTATGATACCTGTACCACACCAAATAGAATGGTACTTTAAGCTGATGACACAAATATACTCCTAACCCATAAAAACTTGTCTGCAACATAAAGAAAACCAATTTTATCAATTTCTTACCCAAAAACGGTACCTCAAACCCAGATCTAATGAACAACATCAATATGTGTGGTAAAACTCTGGAATACTGTCAGGTAGCTAGATTTTTAGGAATAATTCTGGATCAATAGCTAACATGGGAGGCACATATCGACAGTTTATGTGTAAAAGTTGGCAGTGCAAACTACACAATTCGGAATCTGCGAGACACTCTACAGAAGTTATAAAACTCATGTATTATGGACTGGTACAATCAAGGCTACAGTATGGATTGATCGTCTGGGGTAAATCTGCATATACTAACCGCATTTTTATGGTTCAAAAAAGAGTCATTCGCTGTATGGACAAGGCTCGTCCACTGGACTCTTGTAAACAACTATTTAGAAAATTCAGCATCTTACCATCGCCCTGTCTTTACATATTACAGCTAGTGTTATTCATCTATGATAATAAACTCCTATATCCAAAAAACTCTGATATACTTAATTACGCTACTCGGGGTGTAGATACTTTATACCACCCCCCTACTCTTGCTTGAGTGTGAGTCAGAATTCCCCAAAATATTTGGGTATCAAATGCTTCAATAAAATAACAACTTTTATAGGGTTCAATGAGAGTAGAACTGTAATGAGAAATGAACTATATGGTTTCTTGTTGGATAATTGCTTCTACAGAATGGATGAATTTCTTGCTTTCAGTGCTCAGATAGTTTCTTTTATACATGTAGTCTATTTTAAATTTGTTCAAGATCAAACATTTGAACTTTTGAATAGTCCAATAAGTTTTCTCATGTATTTAATTTTGTAATTGTGTATATATGAAAATTTTAGTGATGAATAAACTATTTCTATTCTATTTCTAATAATAATAGTAATAATAATAATATCAGTTTATTATGATCGACAAGAAATTTTGTGTACAATTCGTCAAGGTTATAGATAAAATAAATACAATACAATAATACAATTTCAAATACTCCCAAATAATATGAGTTTCACAAACATTTGGATAAGATACATCACATTTACATTAAAAAAAATTAAAATCAGTTCATGAAACAGTCAAAGAACTCGCTAAATGAGTAAAACATATGTTCAGTGAGGAGAGCTTTCAGGCTATTCCTAAATTTGAGGTGAGTGGTACAATCTCTGACACTTCCTGGCGAATTGTTGATACCCATATTTGTAGGGCCAGTGTAGGTTACTTGTAAGGTGTTTTTAGGTGGGTAAAGTAGGTTGTTATTCCTTGTTGAATAGGAGTGTATGTCAGAGTGTGCAATTAGATTATTTCTATTGAGGTATATATAGCAAGCAACATCGAGTATATAGAGACAAGGTAGAGGTAGAATGGTAAGTTGTATGAACAGTGGCTTGCAGGGGTGAGACCTTGGCATTTTGAGGATGGTTCGAATACTTTTTTCTGGGTTAAGAAGAGATCTTTGGAGACTGGGGATGTACCCCACAGAATTATGCCATATATTAAACGTGATTGTATTTCGGCAAAGTAGAACATTCGGAGGCTATCGATATCTATGACTTTGCGTATGCATCTAAGTTGATAAATTCTGGAATTCATCACTTTGATTAGGCAGTGTGAATGTTCATGATAGTCCAGTGATTCATACAAATTTTATGGTATCTACTCGTTCAAGATTAGAGTGGTTTAAATGTAATGTCAGTGGGTCAACTGTCCTTTGCTTTTTATGGAATATCAGAAAATTTGTTTTACTGAGGTTCTATTCTTTACCGAGTGTTCAACTCGTGACAATATTGTTTCCTGGGGATCGTAAAGATGATCGATCATAACCGTTATCGTTCGTGCCTTAGACCTGAGCCGGCTGAACATCACCTCGGGCACGCGCACCTACCGCATCCCGTCGCCCACCCGCCCGGCGCGGGCCTCCTTCCACCCGCCCGCCTCGCCCTCGCCTCCCGCCCAGCGGGAGGTGGGCGGGCCAGAGGTGGGCGTGGACGTCGACGAAGACCCCGCCCACCGGAAGGGCTTCTACATCAGCTTCGACGACGACCAGCCGAAGCGGCCGAAGCCGCCGCTGCGGGTGAAGCGGATGTCGCCGAAGAAGGAGCGGAGCTACGTGGAGACGGCAGAGGAGACGCAGCAGAGGAGGGTGAGTGGCGACCGGAGACATATAAAAAGTGGGATGACATAACATTTCATTCATGAACACTAAGATAAATAGAATAGAAAAAGTGCAGCATAAACTAATAAATGTTTCAAATTTTCGATTCAACAAAAGGAGACATTTTCTATCTTATGAATGTAATGTTACATTTTACAAGCTTGAAATTTCAAACTTGAGAAGGCCATTCTTTGATATCTGCTTTGTCTATAAAACTGTCAATGACATTATTCATTCTCCATACTGCACAAGTTTTTTCCTCTTGAATTGTACCCGATATCTTGTGCGACATCGGCTTGTACCTGGTAGGATAACTACCAGTTTCATGTCTAATTCTCCACTATATAGGTGCATGAAGTTTTATAATGGTTTAGATGACGAAGAATTTGATGTTTTTTTGACCAGAATGAACATTTTCAAGAGAAAGTTGAAGACCGCGCTGTACATCCGATAGTAATGATTTCGTTTCTTTTTTTCTCATCCATTTTTGAATATGCAATATATGTATGAATTGCACTGACTAGGTTATTTCTGATACTTCCTGATGATAGTTAAAAAATATGCCGATTATTATATTAGTATAATTTAGAGATACATCGAAACTTTTTTTTCTGTTATTTTCCAATTATTCTCTATATTTTGCATAATATATCGAAATAATTACTTCTTATCCTAGATCTAGAAATATTTATTTCATTTTCTTTAGGGCTATTTACATTTTGATTTTAGAACGGCTTTTATAGCATTGCCTTGGTTTTAGTTAATACTGATCAAAATCTATCTATCTGTTAAATCGCCTAATTCTCCAAAATGAAAATTAAAATAAAATAAAATCATTCTTAAGTACTAAACTTATTCAGTTCAGAGCTTTGTTATTTCTAGTCGAGAGTGGCAAAATTTGAGATATATTATTAGACACTAGTCCCAAATACCGCACGATGTTCTTCGAACATACCTTATAGGAATTTCCTTTTGTGCGCTTCAAGAGACAATAAAAATGAAATTCCATTTGAATACCACATATATAATATGTAGGATTGCTAGTCATCATTGTAAAATTGAATTTTGAAAGTTTTCGGGAATTATGAAATTCTTGAGCGTCCAAATTGAGAATTAATCAAAACAGTATCGAAATATGACTAGAAAGAATGCGATTTTTCAAAAACTGCGGTTGGTTACCCATCTCTGACGTGTATTTTCAAACATCCTTACTCATCTCTGCAGAATTGATAATGTCTCGGATAATGTAATGAAAAATCTGAAATTTTTTTTCAAGGAAAACCATGACAGGCAAGAAAAGAGGAAACAACTTGAAAGAGAATTGGAAGAAGAGAGGTTCAGGAAAGAGGACGAAGACAAGAGGAGGCAGGCCTTGATCGAACAGGAGAGGGAGAAACTTAAAGCCAAACGAGAAGCTAGTCAAGAAAGGCAAAACGTCAATGCTGCCAGTGCTATAATTATAGGAAATGATTTAAATAACCCAGATCCAGTGAGTTTCTTCAGTATAGTTTTTTCTATTCACTCAATGAACTCTTAACTTGACTCTCCAGTCGGAATGGCTATGACAACGGAAATAGTTCAGTGGCACAGACTAGATGGTAGAGAAGCAAATAATTAAAGGACCTTTTTATATTTCAATATGATTTTGTTGGTAGCACTGAAGAGAGAGAGAGATAGTAGAGGAGAGAACTTTCCTCTCTATTCGTGGTAGCCAAGGTCATCATCTGACGTTGCGATGACATAAAAACTACATGAAAACATTCGTAACTCCTGGCTTAGAATGAAAGTTAGACATGTTTTCCCGTAGTTTTTATGTCATCTCAACGACAAATGATGATCTTGGCTACCGTGAATCGTCCATGACAGTGCAGTGGGTAAAGACTAACAACTCAATGATATTAAGATACGTTAATGGTATGAAAAAACGCAATTAGCCCTTTCGAATTCTATGGAAATAGTTATTCAAAAACTACACATTTGTATGAATGACCTGTATTTTAGAATATGTTCTTCAACGTCTGATCAGTACATCTATGCGGGGTCAGAATTTGTTCAAATTTGGTAGCTAAAAACCTATAATGAAACAACTTTTTCATTGACATGTTTGGAAAATTCGAGAAATTTCAGAAGTTTTTGTAATTTTTCACTCTTTTCTTTAACCAATTGATAAAACGAAAACGGCACATCATCCTTCACTATTTTAAAAGTATAAACTGTTCATGAACTCTTGACTTTGCACAAACTGAACAACAAATCCCTTTTGATGTGGATTTTCACGGTCACTCTTTTCTTTCATTCATTATTGAACAACTCCTACAATAATAATAATTCTGAAACATGAAAAAAATTATTTACTATCCTTTTTTTTTCTACATCATACCTACATAAAATAAGATGTCGATGAAGACTTGGTACATGTAAGGTTGAACTTGCCGTTCGTCCGGAGAGCATTGTGATTTTGTGAATTTTTAAAGAACCTGCAACATGTAGACAGTGAATTTGCAAACTTGGTCATAACCTATCAATCAATCAACTTTATTATTCCCAAGAAACAACATTTGCATAACAGATATGACACAATTCAGTGAGTGATTTTCCGATTTCGGAAAGGGATCTATTAAATGGAAATGGATCGTGTATCAGCAAGTATCCGAATATCATTCATATGTATTCCCTAGGATTTGGATTACGAGAGAGAACGAAAGAAGGAGAAGATCATGTTGTTGTCGTTGCAAAGGAAGCAGCAACAGGAGGAAGCGAGGGTGCGGAAAGAGGCCGAGGGGCAAGCGAGGCGGGAACGGGAGAGGATGAAAGAGGAAGAGAAAGCGAGAAAGAAGGAGGAACAGGCAGCTCGAAGACAAGCCATTCTAGAACAGTATAAATTGAAGAAGGCCATCGAAGAAGCAGAAAGAGAGGTGAGTGCAAAAGTATACTAATTTTGACAAAGAAAACAATGTTCACATTCTCATGCACGCCTACATGAAATTGAATCTATTCAGTACCTTACGAAAGCACTCTTTGTTTGTCTGGCAAGATTAGAATGTCCGGCTACTGAGGAAACATATTTTTAATACAAGAAACAATTAATAAATTCAGATTTTATACTTTAACGTAAGTCAAGTTACACTAATTCATTATGGTTTAAGGTAGTCTGGCAAGGGGTCGGCACCGTGGTGTCTGGCAATGGATGAGGTGGTTTCTAATATTATCCCGAAAAAAATATAAAAAATTACACTCAATAATTGAGTTGGTATTTTTAACACCTTTCCTACCCGTACCAAAGACACCATGACCTAATCTTTATATTTGCCTATCGTTGGCATCGTTTTTACCTGTGTTGGGAGCTTGCACTGAGAATTTTTCAGCTTTTATAAAATAACGGAGGTCTGACATTCATGGGCTTTTGCTCTATCAGAATGAGACGAAAAGTCATCAGCGGTACTGACGTCACAAGTACTATAACACGCCGGTTCTCTATTCGTAGATAAAAGACGATAATTCACTATTCAGTGTGGTGAACAACGTTGCCGTCTCAATCGATTCATTTAGTTCTCATAATGTATCTATCTGATTTGAAGAATTCCATGGATGAACAGCTGAGCAAGACAGTTTGAAACTCATTTGTTTTTGTAAACTGTATTGTGATATATAATGAAGATGAATAGACATTGAAATGATATAAAAAGAATAGTGTCAACTATTCAAATGCGAAAATCTGTTTATGGATTACATCAATAATTCTTCAAGGATTTGTCAACATCAATCATATTGACTGATTCTTTCGGAAGTGTTTTTACGTTTTTTGTGCTCAAGTCGCGGTACTTTCCTCTATAGAAGTGTCGGCCGATATCGAGGTCATCATAATATGTTATTGAAATGACGTTAAGCAGAAGGGGAAATAGTTGAGAGTTGAAGTAATCACTGTACGTAGACCACCACGTGTACGAAAAATAACGTTTACGTATTGTCTTTAAATTGACTTGAAGTCGTCACTTTGGTTGTCAATGTTATCGTAAGGTAATAACACATTTTATTTTCATATTTAACGGGTCATTTTTTGTTGTTTGTTTAGATCTGAACATTTATTCCCGCACTCCTTGATGCAGAACTCCTTGGGGATTCTAAATTTGATAATTAGGATTCATCGGCATATTTCGAGTATAGTTTGGTTAACGTACGTTTATATTCAAGGTATACGTGAAAGTAAGTGAGATAACGTCACCCGTAAGGCCCCTACCAACGCGAACGTGAAGACTTGAAAAATGCGCATGCGTTTCTGTCAATTTTACTGTTAAGTTACTGTTAACAGCCTTCCTCCGTTAAGATTGTTTAACGGCCGGCGGCCGTTAAGAAATCACTTGTTCATATATTTGTATCAAAACTTCATTCTGGTTACAATAACGATAATTCTAAAAATACCAACTATTTATAAATTTGAGAAGTAATTTGACAATTGCTATTATTTGAAATTTCTATTCCATCGATGAGAGATTTACCAATCATAGCACCAGTATTCGAACTTGTTGTCGGTGTGGCCTCATTACTATGAAATAGTTGTCTCGTTATCTTCATTCTCTTTGAAACTGAATTTCCAATATACGACTCCGCCACCGCAGAGGACTTCCAACCTCCAAGTTCTTTTACCGATAGTAGATCGCCACCATTTTCTAAAAAACATAGTAGCCGAGGATCTGCGACACGAGTGCCCTGTGTAGAGCTGAAGATTCTCCAATTTTAAGAAAGCTGCAATTTTCTTCGGATTAGCTCCAATAGTATGAATGCCCACAACTTGTTTTACACATTTTCCATTCCAATAACCAATGAAGAATCGCCGATTTTACAAATCTGAAGGCCGCAAATCTACGTATTTTTGTAATTAACCATAGACATCAAAAGGAACTCCTTCTTTGGGAATGACAAATACCCGCTTCTTCTTGTTTCTAGTATATCTCAATGTAACCAAAACTCTGTACTGTAGCCTTCAAAATCATCCACAGTCAGCTTAACAAGTTCGTCACGTCTACAGGCGCCGAAAATACCACATATCAAAACAACTTTTTCAAGCAACCATGTATGATCATCTGCCTCCAACAAAAACTCAGTGACTTCTTCTTCAGACAAAATTTTTGCTTGCTTTGGTTTGTATCCATCAGACTTTCGTCTCAAGAACGAAAATAGTTTTCCAAATCGGAAAATATCATTTCTGTAAGTAATACTCTAATATGGTGAACCATTTGAAATAACTCACCTTGAAATGTTAATGTTGTCATAAACTTTCAAAGCAAGTTTCAAAATTGAAATCAATCTTGGTCCACAGCGAGTTAGGAGAATAAACCCTTGTTTTTCTTTCGTATAGGCTAATAAAACATCTTCATTAACCATATTTACATTCTGGCTTTTACGCCACTCTTCAAAATCATCATATTCTTTTTGATATCGCTCCTGAGTTATTTTTGGCAGTAAGTCAGTACTTGCTGCACGTGATCCTCTCAATATTTCTAAAGAAATTTGTTTTTGTTCCTCAATTTCTTCAATTTCATCCATGGTCGTTGTTGAAGCAAACTCGCGAAGACAACTGACGTTCGGTTGTTATAATCCTCGGCTTGCGCCTCGGATTACAATATTCAACCTCATCCGTTATTTGCTACATATCGGCCTTGTTACGTTAATAACTTTTTCATTCCGAGGAAAGAACAAACCACTTACCTCGTAATTCTACAGACAAATCCCAACAATCTCAACGGTAGGAGGCTGTTAACAATAACTCTTCAATTTTCATCTGAATACCGTAAAATCCAACTAACAGTGTGAGATTACGAAAACATTCCTATTTCATGACTCCCATTGAAAGTCGGACATGTTTTCCCTGTTGCTAAATGTCATCACAACGTCACCTGGTGACCTTGAAATTTGACAAAAGGGAACGCAGACAGTGTTCGGGTCTTGAAAGTGTACGAAGGATTGAAAAGGAAAATTCTCAGATGAATTATGAACATGAAAAAATGGATATATACAGGGTGATCCAGATTTAAAGGCACAAACTAAAAAAGATCTAATCATTTTTGTTCAAAATTTTTATACAAACATGAGTTCGTTTTCGATCAGAAGCAGAGCTACAGGGGGTCTAAGTTTAATTATTTTTTTTCTATTAATTAATATATCTCGCTCACTTTTGAAGATATCAAGTGGAAATTCAGTGTGGTTGATACCTCCTAGAAGATCATCATTTTAAGCATCTTATAGATTTTTAAAATCTACAGGGTGATACGTTTTTGAGGGTAGAGGCTTTCTTATCCCCCACAAACTCTGACATCTTGCACTTAAGAAATTCAATATATCGATCAATTTCGAGGCTTTTTTTGCCCTTCATGTTTTAGAACGCATGCTTATTTATTTCAAAAACGGTTCGTTTCTCAAAAAACATGACAAGCAATAAAAGACTCTAAATTGAACAATTCACATAATCCGGTAACTTGATGATGTCACAGATGTACTACTAAAAATGTTGGGTGGAATAAAGAAGCCTGTGCCCCCAAAAATGTATGACCGTGTACATTCTGAAAATGCTTGAAATGATGATCTTCTAGAAAGTAACAACCTCACTAAATTTCGAATTGATATCCTCAATAATAGAAAAAAATAATTAATCTTTGACCTCTTGTAGCTCCGCTATAGATCTAGATCGGACTCATGTTTACAAAGAATTTTTTGATTAAAATGATGAGATATATCACACATTTCAGTATGTGCCTTAAAACTTGAACCACCCTGTATTTAAAGTAATACATTAGGAATTCGCATTCACTATGTAATCAAACTAGAAATTCTTTCTCGTTTTATTACACAGAAAACAACTTCTCTCCAGTTATTTTCTGTTGAATAAACCGAAAAAGAACTGATAGTTTCATTACATAGAGAATGCAAATTCTCAATGTATTTCTTTATACATAAATATATCAATTTCACCCAATCAAGGGATTCAAACTCGAACGTTAGAAACTTGTTATTTTTATAGATTTTTAATCGCAGATTTGTGATCAGGTTTTCTCAATTCAGAATTTCTATCAACGTTCTGTATGATGAATATGAATTTGTGATACATCCAAGATCCAAGAATGTTCAACAGATTTTGAAAAAATCGGAAGAACGGATCTGTAAAGTGTTCTACAGACATAGGATCTTTTTATCCGAAAGGGGAATCTTTATAATGTTCGAAGAACATCGTGCGTACCTAGGAAGGATACGGAGAGGAAGTAGGTTTTAGATTTTTTTTCGAATTATGGAGATAATAGACAATAATTATTTAATGCAATGAAAAAGATTCAATACGAAAAATTCGAGAATATTCTATTTATTTTCTAACGGCCCAAATGCAAAAACATCAAAAAATAAAAATTTATGGAATTTCATCACCTATTATAATAGGTGTTCTAAGAAGATGAATTATAATTGAGAATGTGTTAATATACTTATAAAAAAAAAACAATAGCGGTTGTAAGTTGGCCACGATTACATGCCGAAAGTGAAGTCACTACCTGCTGGATATGCATTTCAGTCCTAGTTAACGAACAAAGTTGCTTATCGTGATCGATAATAAAAATATGATTTCACATGCATGGTGAAAGTCTTCAAGGTACACACATTGTATATTATGTATAATTTTCTTATGAATTATTCTACGTGTTGACGATGACTTGGTGCTGTCAAAAAATGCATTATCGATTTTTTAGATTGTGTTTACCCGATAGAATTGTTCTACAATTTCGAACATATCTCTGTACCCGCAAAAAACAAGGATTGTCAAAAAAAATTAATTGCTACAACATTTCGAATTCACAAACGAGCAGTACCAAGCATTTTTTATTTTTCTGATCGAAAATATTATGTTTTTGACTTCCCTTGTATGTTGACGGCCCAGAATTCAATTCATTGCGATTATTTGTAAGTTTCTAAAAACATACAAACTCCTATGAATTTTTTTTTTATAAATCAATATGTATAGTATAGTTCAGCTATTTATGAAGAAGTCAACAAGTTGAGCTGCCACTGGATGTCAGATTCCAGAAATGTAACTGCATATTTCATTCTCTCATTAGTTTTGTTTTACTTTATATCAATACTTCATACAATGTGCCTTTTCATCTAATAAAAGCTCCAGGCAATTTTCATTCCCTCTACTCACACATATGGAATCTATTTATAACCAAATGAGTTATACCCTATGAAATGGTCCAAGCTCGAAGCAAAGGTGTTTTTTTTTATTTCATGTTATATTTCTGGACATTCCAAGAAGTTCTTGACAAGGGGACATTCACTCTCACAATATTAGTCGATTTTCAAGCGGCGCCATGTAATCTTCACACGTCATGTATTTGTAGAGAAAGTATTTGGTGTACATGTGGTTCAAAGTTAGTGAACATGTCGTTCATCTATTGGTCTTTGGTAATGTTTGGATATTTGTGTTATTGTTATTACTTGTCTGTAGGTAATGTGAAGTATATTTTAAATTCAGAATATGAATTGAATTTCTAATTTTAGTTCCATAGAAAACCTCTGTTGACCAAACTAGTGAGTTTTGTATGTATTTGCAGTTTGCTCTTCACAGTTCATATATTCTTCATTTTATTATTCGAAATTTCATTCCTCTTAGATATTTGAGGAATATATATGTCTGGTTTACTCAAAATTACAATATTCAATATCTATCTATCTTTAAAAACCAAAAAGTCTGTTGAATTTTTCATCTTTATATTAAATAAAAATTTGTTCTTTTATTCATTTTGTGAGAAAAAAAAATCTAACTTGAACTTTACTGAAGTTAATACAATTCAAACTCATAAAACGAGACAGTTGAATTCATTAATAGCAAACCCCTATCACTCCATTATTGGCAAACAATCAGTATTCTACAACGGTATCAATTTATTTAATTTATTACCTTATGATTCAAAACATTGATGATGAAACAAGATTCAAAGTGAATATGAAAAAATATACCATCATGACACTATAAACGGAGCAATTATTTTTCATTTGAATACTTGGAATGCTTTTAGTTTAATTATTATGTTATATTGACATAACTCGATAATTCGTTTTTTTTTATTGTTATATGTTTATATATCCCTATTATAAACAAAGATTTTTCTTGAGGTAATAAAGAACAATCACAATATTGTTATGAACACTGATGATATAAATATGGTTCATTTTCTCTATAGGGCAAGACTCTGGATAGGTCTGAACTTTCTTCTCTCAAACCTGCACTGAAGATGCGACCTAGAGGTACTGCGCGACCTCGACCTAAAACTATTCATATCGATAGTGGTTCTGTCCAACTTGCCGAAGGAATGTCTAGTAAGGGAAAAAAGGGTTCTTCCTCAAATCTCACAGGTACGTTCATAAAAAAAAATTCCATTTTGTATCTCAGGAAAGTTACGCTTTGCTTCACATTTTATCATTGTATGCTGAACAACTGTTTTTTCGATAATCGATTTAATTTTTTTTTGGATTCAAAAATTTCAATCACAATGTAAATATTCAGTGGTTTTATTTATTTTCTTTATTCAGCTTATTCTTCATCCACTATGAAACGAGATTATTTCCAAGGGTCACAAGACAGCTTAGCTGACAGAAGCATGAGCAGTGGCATGTTGTATAAAGGTGTGTTTCCATTTTTATTTTATTATTTATTTTCGTAGCACAATCACGCTTACTTGAGGCTTATGAAAGAATTGGAATTGTGTTGTGATAAGTTGTCTATATTTGTGTTGAATGTTTGAAAACATTAGGAACTTTGTAATCTTCAATATTTGTTCGAAGTATAGTACACTTGAAAAAATCACGGAAGAAATTTAACAAATATCCGATGAAATTAGTTTTTTCTGCTACAAAAATATACCCAAAATATCACAATGATATTTAGAAAAGCCTTGATACCAATTAAAGATTGGCTGACTCATAAAATTATCAGCGAAAGTGATTGACGATATTGGTGATATTCTATTTATACAAGGTGGGCCAAAAGAAGTCATCCGATGTTGTTTGGCTCTCATTTTTTTTTTCAAATGAAAAGCTTCGATTCTGTTTTTTGATTATGTTTATTTGAACCTTTAGAATTTCATTGGTCGAGTCGAGAAGATGATATCGGCCAAATGGGCGCCGCCACAATTGTTTGCTATAGGGGCTCGTTTTATGCATTTTTCATCACTTCGGCGAGAACTTTGGGCGACAGATTGTCGCACTCGTGTCGAATGTTGTCCTTGAGGACTCCAGGGTCTCGGGCTTGTTCACGGAAACACGGAAAAAAGGTCTGGAACGGTTAAATCGGGAGATCTTGCGGGACAGTGCAAATCGCCAAAACGAGAGATGAGGCGATCCAGGAACGCTGCCCTCAGAATATCGGTTGTGGCTCGCGCAGTGTGTGCCGTTGCTTCGTCCTGTTGGAACCACATGCCCTCCAGTCCTAATTCGTTCAATTGCGGCAGAAAAACTCGGTAAACATGACCCTATCGCGCGCACCGTCCACTGTTGTCGTTTGACCAGCGGCGTCCTCGAAAAAAATGGCTCGATGACTCCTCCAGAGTGAACAGCGCACCATGAAGTCACTTTGAGCGGGTGTAACTGCTCCTCGTGCATCACTCGTGGATTTTCGGTGCCCCAGAAGCGATAGTTCTGCTTGTTCACGTACCCGCTGAGGTAGAAAAGAGCCTCGTCGCTCATTATGAATTTGGTCAAAAAATCGTCCACGAGATTGAGGATGGCTTGGCTCGGATTATTCCGCGTTGTTGTGGAGTGTATCGGTCCATGGCTTGCTCACTTGTATTCTACATCTGTCTTGTTCACAAATATCAAAACAGATTTGACATTGGCCGCCATTTGCAAAAATAAGAGCTACTTCCAATAGGGTGATTTCTTTTGGCCCACCTAGTACATGATTATTTCAGATATGCTTGACAAACGGCATGTTTCTGGAAGTGTGAAATTTCTTCTATAGTTTCAAAATAAGTCAAGATATTTGCTCATCTGATACCAATATTTCCATAATAAATTGTCTTTTATGTTGTAGTTGTACTTGAATCAATTAATGCAGTCGTTTCCCCAGTTTGATACTCTTCATTCCCAACATTATTATTTGTATATCGAATATTTCATCTGATCATTCGCCGTGTTAGCGCCTCACATATTTGTGATCATCTTGGTATACATACCCAGTAACTGAGTCTTGGCCATATGGAATTTTCTCCCATTCTGCTTAAAATTCATAGATTATCATTTGGTCTGCACGAAATGTATTTCTGTATCGTTATCGCTCCTAGCTTGGGTGGTTTTGTGAATTGCGGTTTTGGCGTATTTCAGATTCTCCTGATGACAGCAGGGGAATGTCTCCCTGCCACAGCGCCAATCAGACCTTAGGAAGACGGAGCTCTTACAAGACCAGCCGAGGTGAGTTGTTTTTGGACAATTATGTGTGCAGAAGCAGCTGCTTTTCCAGGTGTTTCCAGGTGTTTGTAAATGTGTACGGACGTAGAGATTGGTATCTATCGCACGCTCTATCATTTACTGTCCAATGTATTTCGTCGTTTCTTATTGAGATTTCATTTTGCATCTGTTTCTATACTGTCGAACATTTGTTTGTTGTGGTATCGATTATTTTTTCAAAATGTCATTTAGTGTATAAGCTGCAGGGTAGATGGGCTAAAATGGTACAACACAGATTTTGGTGCAAGAAAGGTGAGTCAATAGCTTTTCTGTTGTAGATGCTGATGATTTATTCCCCATATTTTACATTTAGTCTCTTGTTTTATTCATATAGAAGAACAAAATATAAAACTAATTATTATGGAAGAGACATTTATACATGATATGATATATCCTTTCATCACCTACAGAAATCAGATTACAAATTATAACAATCAATTTTGTTGTACAGTGCATTCAAGGATATAAATGATGATATAAAAATATATTATAGTTCTACCTCGTTGATGTCGAACAAATTGAAAACTATTCTGAAGGTGCAAGAAGATCTGGCTGAAGTAAAATTCACGAGATGTAAAACCAGTATCGATAGGTAGCCAAAAAGTGTTATCTTTACGTCACATGCCATAGACTAGAACTTGAAGGCATCATTTTCACCTATTGTTACTGTGACTGAGCAAGGCCTGATAGGCCTTTAAACTACCGTCTTGCTTTTGCTGACAATTGCGATAACTTCCCATTCAATATTGATAATAGATCTAGTACCCTAAAATAAACATAACTTCAAGGAACAGCTGTTTGAAACCAAACTGGTGTATATGTAATGATCTATGATGATCATATATCTTGTTCTGCATACTACAAATCAAACAATGAATATGGTTAAGAAAAAACAATGTGTCAAAAATAATCGAGCCCACTGTAGCTTTGTTAGCAATAATCTTGAAAATAATCCATATTTAGGGCATATGACAGAATGTATGACAGTTGGATCTTTCAATATCTCAATTCGGGAAACAGATCTCGAACAAGATGAAAATATTTGTAGGCTTTTCATCACTTGAACTATGAGGGCAACTGTTCTTCAGTAGTATCTACTTGAATATAATATAGATTGGAACCATACAAACTTGTTATTCAACTGTGTATATAGCTTTTTCCATTGCTAGGCATTGTTTCAACCTTTGTTTTGCTTGTGTCACATAGTATAAAGTGAGTGAGTTAATCACACATATGAGAATTTTGAAATGGCAGATTCGCATCGCATAATCACGACCAGGAAAATGATACTAGATTGAAAATCCATACTATTATGGTAGCATTACAACATTTGCATTCATTATCTATTGATGACATGCCTAATTAAATGTTTTGACACAGTACATGAACCAAATACCATTGAAACTCAGGTTTCCAGACTGATATTATTTATCTGACTAAATCTGTGTTCTCGTGGTATTGATCGTGATTATTTTGTTTTTCTGTATGAATTTTACTCAAAGTCCGGAACCACTTCTCACAGTCACACTAGTTGCTTCAAAATCTGTTTTGTCAGACTGGTATAGAAGAAATATAGTGCCAAAATATGAAAAAAAACCACTGTGATTGGCGTGTAGTGTATGTTAACGATATTTTTGCAGACCCCTCTCCTGCTCAGGTACGCGGCAGACCTAAGTATTCGACTTATCAAAACTTTAAGGGGCGCAAGTCTAGCTCAATGATGAATTTGTACGGTAAGACAGACCTTTCCCCTGGTTACAGGTATTCATGTTCATATTGCTAGATGTCTTGAGCTGTGGGGCATGTTGGTCTTACCTTGGTTTATTTGATTTATCCCCTTTTTAATTTTCTTTGGTGTACTTTCGATATTCTGCTCTCTCACGACGTTACTGGTTCTCGAATTTTTCACACCATTAAAAGTATAATCAATTCGTAATTCGAGAACTGGTTCTAGTCACCCGGCAAACGTGAACTTTCATGGGATCAAGCTGATCATTCAAAGTACAGGGCTTGAGGTTGAACCTTTCTCAAGTTAGTTTAACATCTGAAGTGATCGGGGGAATGATAATAACTCACTGACATAATTACTACCTAGACCGCTAATGCCACCTTACAGATCGAACTGGAAAAAATTAATCATGAGCATTTGGAATCTGTTTTATATTTTACCCATTCTTACTTATGTTTCCTAGCACCAAGAAGTTTGGAGGTTGCTGTGCGTTGAGTAGAAGTGTTTTCAGACGAGCAATTTGGATGAAGTTTTTTTCGGGATATGACCACTAGCGTTCTAGATAGTAATTATATCAGTGTAATAACTTACCATCATTCAAATTGATGATGAACAGCTCAGCTACTGAGCCCATTGAAACCTCATTAAGACCGAATGCCAGGTGACTAGTTGTTATCTGTACAAAGTTCATTATCATTTTTAGCTGGTGATGGATTTTATTAATTGTAAATATGGAAGCTAGTTAGTTTAGTATTTTTTAACTCCCGCCTGATTTATTAATATGTTGGAAACTTTGGTTAATCCCGATATGGAATCTTATGAAGTTATTTTTCTGTGAAGTGTTTTTCGTTTTTTCTCGTTTGTATTAGTTTTAGATCAATATCTTTCTGATCGATTTCACACAGAATACGGAGGCATGAATTCAACTCGACAATAAAGTAGTGGAGTAACGAGATATGTGTATTCAAATATTTCTAGTATGTTCGCCATTGGAAAGTTTTTGCATTGTTGTTACCAAATTTTATTAAACGAATTATTGAAACCGAGGGTCCTTCGGTGCTTAGCATAGTTTTTGCTACTTTTTCATTTTTATATCAATATTCTGGGTTGTTTGTTATCGCCTGTGTTTGTCTGAATTAAATGCAATCAAATGAAGGATCCCATCACTTAGGCGTTAACGGAAATTGCTTCAAATATTTCTTCTCTACACAAATGTTTTCGTGTGTCATTAAATTGCTTACTGTTGCTGTCACAGATTCATTATTTTCTCATTTCAATTTCTTTTTATATTGTCTTCACTACACATAATAATATATTGAAATAATACTATACTCATCTTTCTTTATTCATAGAAACGAGGAGAAAAAATCCCAAAATATCTAGAGAAATGTGTATACCTTGTTGACTATTGATCATAAGTTTTTATCATTCAATGAAATAATTATCTTGAAGGAAAACGATTCATATAATATGATATTAACCCAACTAGATTAACATTGATATCCATTCTGTACCTTTTATAATTGAATCAACGCGAGATTTTTGGGAATCTTCTGTTTCATTTTCATATACCATTTTTTCATTTATAGGAATATTTCAGATATATTTCAAAATAAAATACCGTCCTCATTGTTCATTCAAGTTTTTCATTGAAACTTAGTACCTTAAATATTGCTATTATTGTTTCTTTTTATGTCCTCGAGTTTAATTAATGTTAATCATGGTTAACTTCATATATGTGATACTAATTAGAAAAAAATAACAACATTATTCCTATCAACGACTTCCTAATAATTGTAGCTAATATAGATATAAACAAACACACAACTACACAATCAATCTAATAAAACATCAATAATATTAACACACCGATTCTTCACGATGGTATAAGGCACATCACAAACACCACATATTAATATAATGAGCAATCAAATTTGATTTTTGAATAATTATATGAGAATAGAGTATAAACAAATTATATGAAAGACAAGTTAATATAGTGAGCTTGCGTTTGTTTTTTATGAAGACAATAGTCAGTGGTTCAGCCAATATTCCCAAAATATACTAGACGGGATCTTCTTCATTATTGCACGGCGAACTATGACCAATTGATAAGACAAAAATCAGTAGGCAATTTTCAAATGCAAAATGATTGTAGTATCTTTTTTGGATACATCTAGAACGACTATATCCCATTTATCAGTTCAATATCATAAACGGAGCGTTTTTCATTGAATATAGTATTGGTATTGGTAGGTTGGATGGTGACAGATGCGCTGCGACCTAAGTAGATCTATTGTGCCCCATCTGCTCCTGCTATATCAAGGATTTCCTGTTTATAGCAGCCCCTCGAGATTCAATTCCTTCAGGAATTTGAGGATTTTGAGGGGGTCTAGCTGTGGTATTTCTTCCACAGTCAGCTGGTGTGTTCCCAGTATGTTCAATCTTTTGTGATGTACAGCGTCACACTCCATCAGTATGTGATGGGGTGTTTCTGGTTCTTCCTCACAGAATCTACAGGTGCCGTCCTCCTGTAAGCCTAGCTTCCTTAGGTGTTCTTTGAGTCTGCAATGCCCCGTTAGAAATCCCGTTATTGCTTTGAGACTTCCTTTGCTGAGGTTTGTCAGTGTCTTAGATCTTTCTCGGTTGAAATTTCCAAGGAGATCTTTAGCCTGCCGTAGTCCTGGAAGTCTTCTCCATTGTCTGGCTCTCCAGGCTCCTTCCGCCTTCTCAAGTTCTCCTTGGAAATAGGAATTTCCAAGGCCGCAGAATGGCTCTGGTCCGATCAGTGGCGTTGAAGCCCCTTGTCGTGCCAGAGCGTCTGCTTGTTCATTCCCCTCTACTCCGATGTGCCCTGGCACCCAGAGGAGGATAACTTTATTGTTGCTGCCTAGCTCATTCAATTTGCTTAGGCATTCCCATACCATCTTCGAGTTGATGTAGGGAGAGCTCAACGCTTTGATGGCTGCTTGGCTATCGGATAAGATCGCGATGTCCTTCTTCCGGTATTTCCTGTCTAGGTTGAACTGGATGCATCTTCCTATGGCGTGTTGTTGAATATAGTAAGTTTTCCCCCTGAAATACCATGTCTCTTATTCAAGTTGATATCAGGAAGTAAAAGTCCTATTCAGTTTAGGTTTTATCTAAACTTGGTATTTGAAAGTAATAATTATAATGAAGATTTTGAAAATATTCAATAAAAAACGCACAGTATATAATATTGGTATCCTGTTCGAAAACCTCTCGTTCAATTAGATTTATATTGAAAAATGCCTAGTATAACTGGTTTTAAGCTTTTCAAATCGAATATAGTCGCCTTGCGATGGAAGAGTGAAAAAATTTGATATCCAGAAATGTGGTCTTTGATCCGGCCCACTATCAGAAAATGAATGGATGGTGCTGCTCACACACTGTACAGGGTGGGCCAAATTGGACACTTTTAAAGGGAAAATCCTATTCTCGAACCAGATGGAAGAAATCTGATGTCTGTACCTGAGGGTCGATTCTCATGAAAAACTCAATGGTAAAATCCGCATATCGATATCTGTCTTCGTTTCGGAGTTACAAAGTGTTTTTCGAAAATGGGCATTTTTGAAAAATGGCTACAGATATTATTTTGGCAAAAATCGTCTGTTCTCATGAAGATAACTGCAAAGCATTGAGTTTGTGATAAAAAATTTTCTCGAGGCACTGAAATCGGCTTTTTATATCTATTTTGGCGAAAGGTGATTTTGGGCATATGACTGTCAATTGGCGTGCTGCACTCCTGAAATTTTTGCAATATTCTCATAATCTAATCTTACTGTCTCGTATTTTTCCTCTACGGAATAACCAGTTTTTATTGAAAAACTGACAAGAGATGTCAAATAAGGCAAGTTTTGTTTCCATGGCATTCTTGTTGTGTCCACAGCCAACTAAATGTTATTGGCAACTTTGATTCAATGCTAAATAAATGAAAAATATGCATAAGTAAACATTAGCAAACTGTTGGATTTTGTAAGCAGTAGAAACAGATCTTTCACTTGCGTTGAAAATATACAGGGTTTTCCATTAAAAAAAACTGATTTGGGCTCTTTTTTTTCCTTTTTGCTTTTCGCATTCAATTATCTAAGGAGTGCTAAAAGATAGTACAGATGAAACCCTACAACTTTTATATATGAAGTTTTTTTCACCTCGTATAGTAGAGACTGAGGTAGGGGTTAAAATATACGGTACATGAATTACTGGGAATGGAAGTAACCATTGATCGTCACTTACGTCAAAAAAGAATCGATGATAATTCAATAATTCATTCGAACCACCTTCAATCATCCCACCAAACAAATCTTCCCCTATGCGACCTTCACGTTCGTTCGTCCTCGTTCCCAGGCTCGAGCACCGACCAGGACAGCCTGGCGTACCGTTTCGGCGACACGGACTCCGGTCTGGGCAGGGCGACGCCCCCTCGCAGGGCGCCCTCGCCGGGCGGCACCGGGCTGCGCCATCTGCCGTCGCCCTCGGGACCGGGCAGCCTGCCAGGGCTGATGTCCAGGGGCAGGCGGATGTTCGACGACGGCTCGAGCGACGTCAGTTCCAGCGCCAGCAGCATGATGGACTATAACGGTGAGTGTAGGATGCTCAAAACATTCCAACGGACGCGCTGTAGTAATATTTACGGCAAAGACGCCTAATAACTTGAAACAAGCCTTGAGACTATTATAAGCAGGGTGGGTGAATTCTTCAGAGCTTCAAATCTTGTACATGGTGTGGAAAGAAAATCCGAAGACAGACAAACAAGTATATTATTATTTTCTTGAAGAACTGCCCAAAAACGGTTATTTTTACTAACAGTAAATATTACTAGACTACTAATAGTTAGATGATCAACAAACACGAATACAGTTTATAATTATCAGTCCTTATCAACTACCTGTTATTCTAATAGTTCACGTTTCTGTTCAACTGTCCCCAAACAACAACAAAATGTACAGCTAAACACAAACCAGGCTACTACAAGATGGGTCCTACCTTCAATATTGCTTCGGTCGATTCCTGGCTCGCAATAATATGTGATTGATCAATTTTATACTCTTACAAAATCCCTTGTATGTATCGTAGTGGCACAACTTGTGGTTCGTAGATATCGGTTACTGACGATACTTCAAATACCAACTACTTATTGGGTTCCACTATCACTACCCATTACCTAAATGTGGCTTCAAACGGCAACTTTAGTTATTTCCAAACCTTGTACGAAATAACATTCAAATAGCATCGGCCTAACAGCGGCCTCAAACGTGGTTGAGCCTTTTACTTCTCAGCTCCTTCTGACTGCTGGAAACCAGCTCCGTCTCGTTTCGCTCTGGCCTTGTACCAACCGTCCCCCTTCCCACACTTTACACTCGCGTCTCGCGCATTCATCACACAAATCCTCATAGCAACAAGAGAGTTGATACACAAAGTACAATATTAAAAACTAAAGGAGATTACAATAAAACAAAATTAAAATACAGTGAAATTAATGGCGTGGACTATTATAACGATAACTTCGACCAAATGACTCGACTGCGTGAGGATTACAACATGCAAACCAAAGAAGTTCATTAGCTAATTCCGATTAAGTTTGGGTATCCCGACTATTAGACACCCGGTATAATTCAGTTAACTTTTTCGGAAATGAGACTGGTGGGAGTGTGGAGGCTGACTTGCTCGCTACCACGGCAAGGTTCACCGAAGATTCGATTTTGAGACTTGATCAGATGTTTGTTATCATTTCACATTTCCCATATTATTGGTGAAATATTTGAAATTTTTCCGGCTCTTAATGCGCACTCTGTACAAAGAGAACGAATCGCAAAAAGAAAAACCCGACGCCAATGACTCATAGGCCATGGATGACGCTTTCTACCTTCGGTTGGAAATCCAACATCGTCCAAGAAATGTTCGAGTTATACGTTATCAAAATTAGTCAATTTGGCTGACCCACTTCATCTGGTGAGTAGTTTATAACGGTGAGTGTAGGATGCTTAAAACCTTCTAACGGGCGCGCTGTAATAATATTTACGACAAAGACCCCTAATAACTTCTCCCACTCTTTATGTCAGTCGCGGGAATCAAGCTCTGAACGTATCGGGTTTGCACAAAACCAGAGGTTTATTTCATCAATGGTGGGGATAACCCCTGCGGAATCATTGCTAGAGAATTGAGATATTATATCGAATAATTTGGGATTTCTAAACATGTGTGTATGTGCGTTGATAAATCAATTCTTACCTGTTGTAACATTTGTGTAATGTAACGTCATTTTTTAACGACTTGATCGTCTCGTGTGCCGTTATTTCATTCATCAATCATGCCCTTTGGCCAATCCAAAAATCCCCCGTGTGGCTGTTTTTTTCCTTTATTGTCAAGAATAAAAGAGTTATAGTGGGTGATACTTTATTACGTCTCACCCAGTGCATGCAGTGCATGTGATTTTCGCAACATACTCCTAATTTGGAATCCGTTGACCGATATTCAAAAACAAAAATTCGATAATATAGTACCCAACGAGCTCTCTTTAAAAATTTGGGCAAATTCTGATATATTCGGGTTCTCAAGGCATACTATTATTTGTTGAAGGGGCTAAAATTTCAGAAACAACTAGTAGGCAAGCATAGCTGAAATACCCCCATACCAGATTTGGACGCAGAACCTCATATAGGATGATGGTTATTCATTGGCAAGTTTGAAAATTCGCGCTGTTTCGATTCACCTTGGAATATCTAAGGAGTTGATATAACCAGTGAAGTATTCAATCAATGAAAAAAACAGATAATACTCAAGTTCTACAGGAAAATGTTTCTAGGTCATCCTAAAATAGATTAAACTAAAGTTGTGGTTCACCATTTCGGAAATTCAAGAAAACTGTTTGCCACTCATTTCACCTAACAGTTATTCTGAGAACTGGCTCCACTGAAAAAGAGCTGTCAAATATAACACAAATAGAATGATCATGGTAATATAACGATTTTGGCGAAATGGAATGACAATTTGAGATGAAAATTGTTATAGTATGGAGAATATTTCCTCGAATTAGTTATTCTTGTTTATGTTTTCAGAAAAAAAGATATGCATCATAATAGAAAATATTTCAATTCAATTTATTTTTGGCTGATCAAGAGACATCTCCCTGTAGAACTCGAAACGATGAAATGTCATATATAAGTGTTCGATTTGTTGCTCCATCACAGTGTTATGGTTTTAAACAACCTTGGAATATGCGGAGTATCATTAAAATGCATAAATCCATAGTGCCATCTAGTGGCGAAACAAACCTACATTGTACAAAGCTTTCTGTTTTTTCAACTTCTTTCCACTTATAATATCCCAAGGCTATCGATAATTTCGAAATAATTTGTTGCATACTTCCGAAAGCGAGTTGCTTGTTACCTAAAAGCAATTCGCATAAGGAAAATTATGACAAATTATGAGAATTAATCAATAGTGTTTTTTGGACTATTCATTAATTCAAGCATACCATCACATTATGCTTTTCTACAATGCGCAGAAAAAGCAGCAGGAGACGAAGGAATATGATTGTTAATAGTGCTAATAGAGTGTAAATGTCTACAGCACACACGATCATATTTCGTCAGCATGTCAGACCAATCCTTCCGACCCTTCCGTTTGGTTGCATGAATTCAATAGTCTTGCCTTCTTTTAGAAACTTCATGAGTATATCTATTCCTCCTATTGCAGAATGAATTCCAATGAGAAATGACAAATTTTCAAAATAAAAACTATATGAGTGACTGTAGTACTTTTAGATCATAATGAACCTACCTGAAAAATCAGATTCCTCCTGCATTTTTTGTGCATCGTTCAACAGTATAATGTGATGACATGCTTGAATTCGATTCGTATGCCACAATAATTGTAAAAAAACTATTTCAAAAGTGAGGTTGTGTTTACATGGTTTCCCCTCCAGGGTCGGTTATCTGACAGGTCTTGCACGCAACCCATTTATGCAATCATAACCTCAATCGTGCCTGAAAAAAAATCAAACAACGATTTTCGTTTCTTCGCAGGACCTCGATTATACAAACAACCCACCACGAAATCGAATCGCAGCATAATGCTGAACGCCGTGGAATACTGCGTGTTCCCCGGCGTGGTGAACCGGGAGGCGAAGAAACGTGTGCTCGAGGAGATCAACCGATCGGAGAGCAAGCACTTTTTGATCCTGTTCCGCGACGCCGGCTGCCAGTTCAGAGCTCTCTACTCCTACTGTCCCGAACGGGAGGAGATCACGAAGATGTACGGCACCGGGCCGAAGCAGGTCAACGACAAGATGTTCGACAAATTCTTCAAGTAAGTACGATATGTTCACTGCAGTGTTGCCACGAATTTTTCACCACATGTTACACGGCGCAAACCCAAGTTATACAAAATTATACACGATTATTCACATCCAATTTCGAAACTGTATACACCAACGATTCAGAGCAATTTTTATTAGGATGAAAGTGATTATACATATTTCCATTCAGAAATTCGATAGACAATGCTGATGTTGCTGATAATAACCTCAGATGATTTGAGATAATAGTTTTTTTTCTGTGACGGGAAAAAAGTTTGGCATTTCATCCCTGTTGGCAGGTTATAAAATGTCACTTTTCATAAATTACTTTTTTCCCGTGGGCAAAAAGTGAGTACTTTTTTCCCGGATATATATCACATATATATACACTGTTGATGGCTTTTGTTGTGTTATAGTTCCGAAAAATGAGTCATTAATACCGTCTCCGAGAAAGAACTGCAAGTCCTTATCTTCGATTCGACTTCGCGGTTACGTATATTACTAAACAACCACTAAATTCGCAATTTTTTGAAATCAAATCACAGAATTAGACTGACAGAAGTGACATCAAATATTTGATTACTTCAAAAGAATGATAAAGATGCCTATAGAACGCAGGTGTCCCTACTGTTAAAAACTTAAAATTTCACGTCGATAATTTTCAGATTTCAAAATAATGTAACATTTTCTCAATGTTGATTCGTCCTTTCTTCTGTCACAGAAAAAAATAGTGTATTATACACGGGAAAAATATTAGATTTTAGCTCACGGTTTTTTGTCTCCCTCCGCTACGCGTCGGGAGACAACACAACCTGGAGCTAAAATCTACAACTTTTTTCCCTTGTATAATAAATAACTATAATGTATTCGAATAATACCTATTAATGAAACATATATGCCAACAGTGCTAGCACTATCTTAATAATTGAGCCATATACATATCCATTTACGATTATGATTATGAAATATTTGAAAATTTGTATGATTCATCAGTAACAATATTTGAGTAGGCCTCGAACTTCTTGGCCGGCCACCATCTACTTTTTGTTTTGAATCATCCTTTTTCGCGTCAAACTGTCAACATCTCTGCATCACGAATAACCTGCCATTTCTTAAAATCTCAGTTGAAAATCGCAGTGATAATATAACGAAGCAAAAATCCAAACGAAGAAATTTGCGTTAACAATGTTGATGTCATAAACGTCAAAATTGAGAACAAAATTTGGTCATGGCTCCTGAAATTAATCTGCTGATATCATGTGACTACAAAAACACACATTTCTCGAAAACGATTGAATTCTTCGTATTTTGATAAGAGGACCTTTTTAATGTCATTTCCTTCGCTTTCTCTAATGTTCCTATTCTTTCACCTAAAATATACAGGGAAAAAAGTAGTCTTCCAAAAATCATGACATACCCTCTAAAAACATCCTTTATAAGTATAGCAGAAATATAGAACTATATCAGAAGAATGTTTATCAACATAAATTCATGCAGGAAATTTCAATTTGGTGGCTTTCACCGTTTAGAAGTTATGCAGAAAAATTATTTTATTTACAACCATATATGTAATGTCATTACTAACGTCATTGAAGGTTGGGAAGTGTCACATTACACATCTCTACTTCCCGCCCTCACTTCCCGCCCCTCCCTACTTCCCGCCTTCACTCATGTAATAATTCAGGTATGTTCAGAACGAAACATAGATTTATGAATTTTGATCGGAATATGATGGTTGTAAATAAAATAGTATACGAACCTCGGTAGGAAGTTTCATTCCTGTCTCGAAATTATAACTAACTAATCTCACAATAGGAATGAATCACTTCCCACCTGGGTGTGTAATATACTATTAATTTAAATATTTTTGGAAGGATATAACCCTTAAAACACATTTTGGGCCATTAGTTTATTTATCCAACTATACTGATTTTTCAATTTTATATCACCTATGACCCTGTATATTAGTTGTTCAAATACATATCCTTAATATAATGTTTTTTGGCCTGATATTTTTGAGAATTAAATTCACAGCATTTCAGAGAGAATAGATGATGTCAGTTTTTTTACTAATGACGTAGGAGTGTTAACTACATACTTGTCAAACTTGCCAAAGGCCCTACATTTATCAGATTTCCGGATTCCTAACATGTTGTTACAATACTCTGGAACATTCATTTTACTTGATTATTTGAGATTTTCTCTCCTAGTTTCAATAAAATAAAAATAAGAGTATTATTTCAATATACAGTGTGTCCCACTTACCATGCTCACCATGGGTATCTTTTTAACGGTGAGAGATACGAGGTCGGTTTAATGACACCAAATGTGGAGTTTATCAGGGCCAACTATAATGTGAAAAAACATTTTGATAAAATCTATTCGTTTTTGTTTTATACGCAAAAAAACAGATTTTGATCATTTTCATGTCTCCTCCGTAACTTCTTTATTTATGAAAATATTCAAATAGGAATTTCACATTCTTATGGCAGTTTTTCAAAGTGATTTCGAAAAAAATATGAAATTTATACCAACTCTTCTAGAATTTGAGATATCAGCACCAACTTTAGTTTTTCAAATGTAGGTCATAGCTCACTATGACTTAGTTACAAATAACTTTTTTTTCTCTTCCAGATGATATGTCGCAGTAATAGTTTTGTGTTGATAACAACGGAGTTATCGTCATTTATACAAGAACAAAAAATTATTTGGAAGCCGCCATCTTGAATTTATAAATTTTAACAAAAAAAATCATGATCTCCGACCTCAAAAACCGCCACTTACCAATTGTGAATGGAATCGGACCAAATCTTGTCCGCCATCTTGGAGCAGCCATTTTTTTCAATTTCAACAAAAATTCCATAACTCCGATTACCTTGAAATTTGACAGGTGTCACTTCGAAAAACTGCCATGAGAATGTGAAATTTCTATTTGAATATTTTCATAAATAAAGAAGTTACGGAGGAGACACGAAAATGATCAAAATCTGTTCTTTGCGTATAAAATAAAAACGAATAAATTTTATCAACATTTTTTTTTCACATTATAGTTGGCCTTGACAAACTCCACATTTGGTGTCATTTAACCGACCTCGTATCTCTCACCGTTTAAAAGATACCCATGGTGAGCATGGTAAGTGGGACACACTGTATGTGTAGTAGGACAAATCAGATGATTTGAAAAAAATTTCACTGCGTTTAACAAATTGTTCTTTCAGCCTAAACAAATTCCAATAGCTTGTCAGTGACACTTTGTTTGGAAAAAAGTTTGAACAGAATAAATATAGATATATTGAAAAAATATCGAATTTCCACTTATCTTTGACGTTTCGGGAACGAATCTGCTCCCGTTCTCAACATAAAAATGCAAAATATTTTTCTTCGAAGATTCTGTTCATATAACACTGACAAGCTATTGGATTTTTCTTTCAGGCTTCCTGATGAAGAAAATTGTTAAACGCAGTGACATTTTGGGGCGAACGTCTTTGTCCTACTACACATCTATTGAAATAGTACTCATATTTTTATTTTGTAGAAAAGAGGAGAGAAAATCCCAAATAATCAAGAAAAATTGACGTTGTTACCAATTTGTGAATGACTGTATAGATGATATAATACCCAATTTTTGTTCTCAGATATAATTCAGGAGGAAAGTGTTTCTCGCAAGTCCACACGAAACATTTAACGGTGACGATAGATGCATTCACGATCCATAACTCTTTGTGGCAAGGCAAGAAAATGAACCTTCCGAATAAGAAGGATATGGCTTTGGTTATTTAAACGAATGAAAATATAGAAATTGTTGTTAATTAGTCATCTAATTGCGTATTATTTTTGTTAATGCTTTATTAAATGTTATTATTTTTTGTTGCCAACAGTTTTCGGTTTGTCGATTTGAACAAATTTTTATATACTCTGCTTTGAAAGTTGGTAATGAATGTTATAAGCCAATTATTCAACGTCTGAGATATTAGGTATACAATTCTCCCTTTTTTTGGAACAAAGTGTTTATTTTAATGTATTTTCTTTTTTGTATTTTTGCCTTTTGTATTATGTATATTTGGGTATTCTTCATATTTTTTACGATCCATTTCTTTCGTGAAGAGTGAAGCTTTTTATTTGTGCCAATGAAACCACTTTAAAATTTTCACTAAAAAAGAATATGTACTTGCTTAGTGTACACTATTCTGTCCATGGGAAAACAATAAAATTATCATATTAGTGTCATTCCAATTGTATTTATATTAAGAAATAGATTAGACAAATGCAGGGCTGTTTTCTGGTAAAATTTTGTTTTGCAGCCAGCTTCCAACCAATTGACGAGTTAAACTAGCTATTTTTCGAAATGAACAGAGTTTGTTGGAAGTTGGCTTCATCATTTTACCTCTTTTTGTAAGTCACTTGATAAATTTCGCTTAGAATGTTTGTAAATTTGTTGTTTATCGAAGATACACCAGCGCAGTATATATTTTTTTGTCAAAAATTCTATTAGCTTGCATAACAGTCGATTATACTAAACGGTCAGTCAAGATGGAGTCACATCTAGAAGCTAAGATGCCCTTCTCAATATCTCTATCACCTTTAAATTCAATGAAATTTACAATTATTTCATTGCTTCCCAATCTTTACTAATATGTGATTGAAGTTTCCAGTATGATGCCAGGTCAGGTGATTCATATCCATCAGATTGTTTTTGGGCTCTAATCTAGTGGATTAAAAATTTATATTCGAATCGGAAAGGCGATTTTTTCCATTCAATTCACAGATTTTATTCAAGTATAGACCTCAGGTAAACTGTTTGTAGTTCTAGAAAAAACCTGATACTCAAAAACAATCAAAGATGGAAATGATCATTTGGTGCTCCAGTATTTATTTTTCATCAACAATTTGTAGCCAACTTGACTGAGCTTCTATGAATTTATATTGAACCACATGGTTTGTGATCCTGAAAATATTTCTTAGGCCTTAATTTTTTTACCTAATAAATAATACGTCATTGTAACATTTATTTAATACAGCATTACACTAATTATTTCTTGTCTGTAAATATTATGTTTTTATAATATATGAAATATTTATTAATTATACACTGTATGAGTAAAAAAACACTCAAACATTCAATAAAAGTTTATAACCCACCTGTTTTTCAATTTTATTATTTTTCATGTTGATTTTTCATTTAATTATCCTAGGAATGCAAGAAAAAGAAGCAGGTGAAAGTTCTTATGTATTACAATTGTTCTGGCTGATGCCTATTGGATTTGTAGTATGGGTTGTCTATACTTGTTAATTAACTTGATCACAATATCCACCCGAGGCGCAAGTCAAAGGTGAACGAAAAAACGGGCTTATCGTAAATGGCACGAGAGTGTGCTCTGCTTGGACCTACAGCAGTAGCATTATTAGTAAAACCTGCCCGGTACTTCGAGTTTCGTTTGATGAATTCGAGTTCAAAAGTTATCAACCAACCTAGTTCGAAAGATGGGCATGTGGGATCTTCAAATTTAGTCTCATCTACTGAGTCAAAACCTAGGAGGAGAGGAAGGCCCAAAAAAAAGCCTTTTAAAGATGAAGTAAAACTCTTGGTGAATAGGCCAGCACATCATGAATCAGGCAGGCCGAAACGCATCTGTGTTGGTCAATCTACTCAGCATGAAATCGCCGGCCAGCACTCTGAAGATTCACAAGAACCGAGGTCCTATAGTTGTCGAGGCTCTTGTTAGCATGAACCTGGGGCAACTATATATTTGGAACTTCAAATTTTTCTTTCAACTTCATGATATGTACTTATATTTAGAGAAATAAATAGTATATTATTTCAAAAAAAAAAAAAATTTGTTTCGATCAGTGTCGTGACCTATCAAAGTTTGAATATACGAATCACTGTTTCCTAATCACTTTCCCAAATTACTTCCACCTTTCCTGAAACTATTCCTGCCTTTCAACTCAGTGTATATTCACCATTCGAGATGGTTGATGGTACTACGCCGGTCAGCAAATGAAATCGAGGTAAGCTATTTTAGACCTTCATACCTTGACAATACAGTTCACTATAGTTTCACAATTAAGTTAATATAAAGTAATACTTCAAATCAACAATGATGGAAGTAAGAAATGTTGCGCGTATTCGGCCATTATCACGTAGTGAAAATTTCAGAAAAATCACTCGATCAGCCTACTACGATTTCTCTACGTCATAACGAGCGAGACGTTGATTTCACATTTTTCCGCTAGATGGAGATGCTTTTATTGCTGCTGTGACGAGCGAAAACACAATGACGAATGGCATTTTAGGTACGCACGCGGAACAGTGGGTTGATTCAACTCTGAATTCAAAAAATCTGCGACAATTTCAAAACTGACAGATGTCATAATTGTGCAATGTCGCCATCTATTAGAAGATCGACGGAACCATTGCTTCCGCTGTTGTCGAAAGGTCGAGTAAAATTTCTGAAACAAAAGCGCATCAGTAGTTACACCATATCTTACTCCCATCATTTGTATTACCTTCTCAAAATACCAACAAAGTGACATTACCATAACCTCAAGAAATTGTTTTTCATTCCAAAACAAACAATTCGAAGGTTAAATGGGCGTTATGCGCAAGCGCCTCAACATAAAATTAATGAAAAATAGGACATGTTCTATTTTTCATCCAATGTTTCATTCAGACTCTGTTTCTGTAATACACGGTGCAGTAAATTCTGAATACAAATTCTCATTCAGAAAATAGATGAAAAACTGGTCCATGTCATACAGACTTGAAACAGGAAATGATTGCAGTGCTCGTAACTAGCGTCTAGCGCAAGGAGGTATTAGTATAAACAACGTAGTGGGAGAACCGCGCCAAGCGAGACGCGGACGCGTGCAAACATCAACTGTGCCCATCACCTATAGCGACGCGCGGCTGACAACACATATTATTAAAAGTCAACTAACACTTTGAATACTGATATGAGGATTTGGAGATTGAGGCCATAAAATGAGAAAATAAAATTGGGATACCTATCTATTATAGGTATTCATAAAATACAATATTCAATAGAGAAAAAACCCAAAGTCGTCTCCACAATTTTTAATGTATAATCAGGCAGTCAATCCTGCATCATTAAGGTTGATACATGTTTCAGCCATTCAAATGGCCATCTTCAGTCAAAAGAATATAACAAAGTGTATCTACAATAGAAAACCAAACATGATTTTTTTATATAAGAAAAATTGAAAATGGAAAAGACAACAGTTGTAAATTCAAATTGAATTGATTAACAATTTCGGTTAGATCAAAGAGCAACAGTGATTTTTATGAGTATACAATGATAATTGATCAGTAATTGATCTATCTATGGTTCTCCATTTTGTTTTTTAGAATTTTGATTTGATAAAATTTTGTTTTTCACTTTTATTATCAATTACTGATCAATTATCATTGTATACTCATAAAAATCACTGTTGCTCTTTGATCTAACCGAAATTGTTAATCAATTCAATTTGAATTTACAACTGTTGTCTTTTTCATTTTCAATTTTTCTTATATAAAAAATCATGTTTGGTTTTCTATTGTAGATACACTTTGTTATATTCTTTTGACTGAAGATGGCCATTTGAATGGCCGAAACATGTATCAACCCTAATGAAGCAGGATTGACTGCCTGATTATACATTAAAAATTGTGGAGACGACTTTGGGTTTTTTCTCTATTGATCATTCAATCATTCCACTCCACTTTGAGCATGGACTACTACAGAAAATACAATATTATTCTTTAAGCATTCAAGTTTACATCATGAATAAAGAAACTGAATATCTCAATACATTTTTTCTTTAATTAATTACTAATAATAAGACTAGTGATAATGGCAAGTAAGTTGATATATTGTCAGTATATTTGTGGTATCGTAATGGTATAACCCATAATCAGTGATAGAATAATGTACAGAATGTATTATTCCATTTGGAAATCCAAAAGTGGTAGATGGTCAGAATGACGTGGTCATCGCAGAGAGTATCTGGAGAAAATGTGAAGTTCTATATACAGTATAATGCAAATGTATGGAATGAATTCATTATTTCAGAAATGGGCGACATTTGAAGATATTCCAAAAACTCGTGAGTTTTAATTTTTGAAACCTCATCTCACGACATTCATATGAGAGATGTTACGTCACCGGTGTTGGAGTAATGACGTAATGGACGGTTTTTTAAATACAAACAGGGGTCATGTGACACCTCGTTTGAAAGGTCTACTGATCGTCTATCCAATAGTCAAAATTTTGCAAAAGAAGATTGAAATTAAAATGGATTATCATTTGGTTAACTGAATCTTGCAGAGATCTTCTACTGAGAATTGAACATCGAAGGGTCGTCTAGTTGAAAAAATACATCGATAAAAAAGTTCTGAACTCTACTTTTTGGATTTTTTTTGGAAGTCGTCTTGTTTTGAAATGAATTTATTCCATACATTTGCATCATACTGTATATATATTCCTTCGCTCCAACGTTCGTCGCGCATGTCGATAGGTGAAGGCATAGGTGATGTTTGTCCGCGTCCGCGTCTCGCTTGCGCGGTTCTCCCACTACGTTGTTTATACAAATACCTCCTTGCGCTAGACGCTAGTGTGCTCGTACACCAGAAGTTTATTTCATTAATACTGGAACAGTACTAGCTGAACGATGATTAAAGGATATAGCTCGATGTCATAATTAAAGTCATCAATGAAATGACAATGGATCATCAGCCTCTCAGATGCATTTTTTTCCCATCATTTTTCGACAATTGAAACTCAGTTTTTTTTTTTTTGTTTGACTCGGCATTTGGATCGAAGATATACTTAATTCCTTGAAACCCGCATATTTCCCTTTGAAATACCATTGTCTCTCTGCTTATTATGGAGAAAAAATCTAGTGAGCTGGAACTATACTGGTCTTCCCTATAGCTTAGTTGAGTGTATGACCACTAGAGGATGTTACCGTATCGTACGAAATGATCTTCACTTTTTTCTAGAAAATTTTCGAAATTTGTGGTTATGTAAGTTGTCACTAGTTGTCAGTGTCAAGAGCTGTCATGCCATCGTCACTTGTTTTGTATTTTTTTCTAAAATACCATTCCTTTTCAATTCTCATTGTTCTAATATTTCTTTCATTTATAGATAGTTTTGTGTTGTGCTCCCAGTATTATAGTAGTTTATTCTGATTATCAATGTGTAAAAACTCTGTCTCCTTCTTATTGTGCCTACCAGAAATTGTGAAACCATCTCCATTCATGGATTTCCAAGTGATATTTCTTTGCGACATAAGTGGACATATTCGATATTGAGTGTTACAGGATCATTACAAGTAAGAAAATCAGAGCCTTTATCAAATGCTAATAATCGATACTACTAATTCTACCTCTCATGGGAAAAACGATTCCATCTGGTTCAAGAATAGGTGTCATGACAAATCATTTTCTATGAGAACTGAAAGCATTAGATCATTCTCCTATATATAGGATCATAGGATCTAATTCCTATAGATTCGAGAATCGGGCCCCCCCCAGAGCTGTAAGGGCCAGTATGCCAGTAAGGGGGCTCGGTCTCTACATATCTGTCATATCTCCAGAACTGGAACTGTATGAACTATTTTTGAATTTTTCAGTGACTGAGTGATCGTGACCCGTGAATGTCGTGACTGAACTCAAACTCACTGAACAAACCACGCCGCCGTTCAGACGGCCAAGGTGGGCCACTGAGGGAGGCTCCAACTCATTTACGATTTTCAAGGTTATGTAGGTTTAAGGGGAAAACAATTTAAATGAGTGTTTCCTCGAGTTGACCGTATGGCGGTACTACTGTATCGGCCACAGAACCCTGTAGGTGATTTCCCTTGTTTGGGCAGACCAGATACTCCAGCTCACTAGATTTTTTCTCCATATTTAGCAGACAATGGGAATACAATTGAATATCACTTCCGATTTTACCGGAAATACACCTATAGGTCGAAAATCTTGAATAGAAACTTGAAGAAATTTCAATGCCATTCGATAGAGCGAAACATTCTCTTTTCAATGAAATATATTTGAAATCAACCCAGGTAGCAGAGTGACGTCCAATTGACGTCATTTTTTGGTCATGAAATGACGAAGTGGACGTCCAAAAATGAC